CGTGGTGGTCGTGTAGCCGAGCTCTCGATGTTGGGCGCTGAAATCGCCGCATATTATCGCGGCAACGTCTCCTCTCTTGGCCAGGTCTTTCTGTGCTTGTGATGTGGCGCTCTTGATCTTATGGAAGAGAGTCTTGAATTTCTGCTTTCCATATCTTGGATTGCTATAGATGTTAGCGATGAAGATGGTGGTCGATGTCTTCTTACTTTCACCCCGGCCTCATCGTCCTTTGCCGCTAATCGCTAGCTCGGTGACGCACAGCTCGATGGCGGTGTCCCTGCTGCCCAGGAACTTGGTGTTTCACGTAAGCGATGCCTTTCCGGATGAACGTGCACACGCCCTGCGCCGCGCCCTTCCCGCATGTGCGAGCGGAAGGGGGGCAGGCGTGTGCCCGATACCCTGGCAGCGTCGGCGTGTCTTCGGTGTGGGTTTCTTGGACCACTATCACGTCCGGGCGAGCCGTCGGTGCCAGCGATCTCAAGTACTGTTGTAGGATTGCTTTTCGGCACCGGAACCCGTTGGCGTTCCAGTGCCAGATCTTGATCTTATTGTTGCTGTCCATTATGAGGGAGAGCCTTTTGTGTTTGGCAATATTGATGCGCCGCTTCACCAATTAGCGGCTGCAGCTTCTCGGGGCTCAGGGCCCTCTCTAGCGCTTGCTCGATTTGGAGCTGAATCGTTTGCGCAAGTTGCTGTTGGATGACTTGGGTGCATTTCGTGAGGATTCTCTGCTCGATGCCCTCAAAGCTCTTGCCCCATTTCTTTATAGCTCTCGCGTTCCGACCGATCTTCTTACTGGGACTCCCGTAGCCGAGAGGTATGGTCCTGTCTCCGTTGTTTGTAGCTGCCACCGAGATGACCGAGGCGCTATCATCTTCCTCATTGCTTTCGCTTGCGCTTTCTAGTTCACCGCTCGTGAAGTGAGCGAAGAGATGTTCAAGCGACTCGATGAGCGCTACCTCCCCATCACCGGTCGCGAAGACCACCCAGACTACGCCGGCCAGCCGAACCCCCCCCCCCCCCCCCCTCGACTGAGATCTAGAGGAATGGGAAGTGAGGCGTGCGGCGCAGGACCCGAACTGTCGTTCGGCCGCCGGACCCGACAGAGTTACTAACAAGGCTCTACGCAACCTCAGCGACTCAGCTACCACATCGCTGACACGCTGCTACAACGAATGCTAACGTAACGGCAAGCTGCCCAAGGCCTGGAAGACAGCAAAGACGATCCAACTGCCAAAACCAAACAAGCCACCGGGTATAGAGGGCCTGCGTCCCATCTCGCTCACGTCCTGCGTGGGCAAGCTGCTGGAGCACGTCCTTAACACCTGGTGGAACCGTTACCTGGAGGCGCACAATGTCTACCCGGACTCGATGCTTGGCTTCCGGGCCAAGTTGGGAACGCAAGACGCCATGCTCCTGATCCAACGAGAAGTACTTGACCCACCGGGCGGGACTCCGAAGAATGACAACTGAGAGATCTTGGGCCTGAACCTGCAAAGCGCCTTCGACAACGTTAGGCACTCGGCGGTCCTGGCTCAGGTGTCCCGCCTGCGGCTGGGCGCAAGATCATACAACTACATCAGAGCATTCCTCTCTCGCCGCATGGCCAGGCTGGAGGTGGGAGGAACGAAGCTCGAAGAACGAGAGCTGGGCAGTGTCGGGACCCCACAGGGCTCGGTCATCTCCCCGTTCTTGTTTAACACCGTCATTATTGAGGTGGCCAGGAGTCTGGAGGCGCTGCGCCCAGGGATCCGACACTGCCTCTACGCCGACGACGTAACCATCTGTGCCACGGGTGGACGGCCACGTTTCCCGAAGAGGTGGGAGCATGGATACGCTCCGAAGACTCAACGACGCAACGAAGGGCCATCCAGCGGCTTGAGGAGGCCCTGGCAAAGCAGAGGAGAAAGGGAGCCGACGCCCCGGACAACAGGAGCGGAGGAGCCCGAGTATCCAACGTCTAGCCGGAGCACAACGTCCTCAAGACCTAGGCCCTGGGACTATAGGACTCTATTAGCCATAGTCTTCAGATAGGGAATACCCACGCCCTGCGTGGCCGGTGTCTTCCCGCACGCCGTATGCGTAAATAAATGTTGTTTCTCTCTCTCTTTGGTCTTAGAGTTTGTGATGATTTGGCGAAAATATGCATGGGTGGGCAGTGCATTGATGTCGGTATAGCGGACTGCCATGTATTTTTCCCCCAAATACTCTTAGGGCCGAGCAACATAACAGTATCATAAGGTGCTCTATCGTCTTCATTAAGTGGTGAAATCTGATCCTGTAGGCATTTAGCGGTAATTTTTTTATAGTTCTTTGCAGAATATCCCAGAAGAACACACCTTCCCAAGAATCCAGAAAAACATGTTCGATGGTTTCAGAAAATGATTGACGTCTCAAAACCGCAATATGATTATGAGGGACACCGTAGTGGGGCCTACGGAATTTCCACCACCTGGTGTGATTTAAAGTTGTGGGGTCTCGAATCGGCGAGCGAGCGCCATGCCACGCTTTTGGAGTGAACGGACACAGCAGACGCGGTCGGTACAAACCAAACAACAATACACATTTATTTAACTAATTTAGACGACGATATCATCCGCCGAATTATGCCTAATCGATACATCAATCGTGATCATACACTTAACCTTACACAATACTACAAACATGACAAACGCAATCACACAACAAACACACAATAATGATAACATAACAAACACAATAACACTCCCAAAGCAGCGTCGCCAACGGTTGACCTACCACGAGGGCCCCCGGCGCACAGCCCGCGGTGCCACGCGCCGAGGACCCACGCTAGAGGCAACCATTCGCGGCAACCGCCACGCGCAGAAGATACTCGCTCAACTCTCGTCCGCCACCAAGGCTTGCTTTCCGTCAGAGGTCACCGCCGGCGCTGCCACTGTAACAACCATGATGATGATAGTGGCGCTCAATGCGAATACAACGCCACCTACCGCCCGGTGGCTGTAACCCTAAGTGCAGCTTTAGGGCGAGACACGTGCGCCACGCAGCGCAAACAACTTTACAGGGGGTGTCAGCACCCCCACAAAGTGCACTGACATTGCACAATACACAGGCATCTACCATTTCGCCTCCACAGGAATGCGGCCGCCGTTGAAGCAATCGAACTAGAGACCTCCGGCTGGGCAACTGAGTACCGTGACCATTACGCCACCGCGGCGGACTCGCTTGAGAACTAGAAAACTACAAAAAAATGGGTGAAGAAGAAAGCAGAAAACGAGAATATGGGGCTGTTCAAAATTTCTCTCTAAAGCTTACAGTACAGCGCAAGGCTCATTTATAGGTTTTATGACCCAGTAAGGCGTACATAGTTAAAGACCTAGCTATAAGATCGAAGGAATCTTGTCCGAGCGAATTGCTAGCAATTTATTTTTCAAAACTACCATTTTCACTTAACGTCTTGCACATTATCGACCGAAAAACGGTAGAAGAGGGACGATGGAAGCTTGCGACGAAAAATCTGTCAACTGGGGCAGTTCTGTTCTAGCCTTGAGGAAGACAGTTCTGCTTGTCAGAACGTCGTCTTGAGCACAAAAACCCTATTTACGGATTTTTCATTGCACATGATCGCGTTCATCTGACAAAGTAGGTTTTGGTAGAAGTGGAAGTTCTATCGGTGCACTCGGTGCTTGTGTTTATTGGTTGATTTTCTGTCCCAGAGCAGTTACCAGAAGCCCATGATTCACAAGGACGCGATTGGCGAGATTCCTCGAGAAATTTGCGCAACAAACCTGTGGTTGGAGATGGCATTTTCTTCTTGTGTTTTAACCAAGTAGAGTGCTTTGTTGCGGGAGTCGTTGTATACGTCATTTAAATTATTTCATCTTGGCAGGGAGCTTTTCACGAAAAGGTGCTCTAGATGCCGAGAGCTTCCTGGATGGGATCACGAAGTTTTGAAAGAACGTGCCTCACCCCCGTATTCTAGAAGGTTCCTTCACTCAATGCTTCACCTTCACTTGAGAAAGCCGATGGGAGCGCCGTTTCTAGGCACGGTAAGTCACTGCGTATCAGCGATAATCTACTGCGATTCTTGGGTGGCGCAGCGTCACTTTGAGCCGAGCTGCGGCGCAGTGCTCAACTCTGTCAAGTGAAGGGTGAAAGCAGAGTCGAGGAGCCTTTGTGAACACGGGGGTTACTATGTAGAAAAGTTCCTGATGACTGCATACAGCCACCAGATACGCCTGCTGCGCTCTTTAGTGTGTCCAACTTTCTACCGCGCGCACACGCACACAATCAGCAAGCCGCTGGGAAAAGAACGTCATCAACTTGTCCCTTCCCCCTCCACCAAGGCAAAATACTGCCCGCGTCCTTGCCATGCTCCATCGCGAGACCTATGCGACCAGTGCTTTCCGTCCCAATGGAACACTTTCTCGTTTTCTGACCAGAAAAAAAAAAAAAAGGCGTGACCTATCCCTAACGATGCTTTGTCGCTGCCTGAACAATGTAGGAACGGTGCGGGGCTGTACATCGACGGTTGCCTGCATAACGGTCGCACCTAGCACTGCGACACCTTCGGCAATAGCTCTCTGGCGTCGAGCAAAGACTTCGTCGTCCGGATCGTAGAAGTCGTCACCTTTTTGCGATTGCTCACGCGGCGACGAACTCTACCGTGACTGATTCGATCGCACTCTTGATCCTGCAGATACACCTTCCCGTCTATGTCATCAATCCCCCTAAGACGTTCACCACTTTAACATCTGCAACATCACGTGGCAGGCTTATGGTGCCAAATTTAAAAATGAACCTCTAGCTTTTACCTTTACCTCTAACAATATACGTACGATTAAAATTAAGGGTATTACAGTTCTCAGATTACAATCTATGAATATCAACCGATTCATTTATGAATATCGACAGATTGATTCATTGTTTCAGTTTTGTGTTTCTTTCTCAAGTAATGAATCTGTGCTTACAAGTCGACAGCACTACTGAGTAATATTCTTCAAAAGAAACAGACCAACAGGTGCAATGATGTCATAAACTTTATTTGTAAATCATCTCTCTTGACAGAAGTACAAGCAACACAAGTGCAAGTCACATCAGGTTGCACACTGCTTCCTCGTCACACATGCACACGGAGGAAGGCTTCCACAACCATCTTTTGACAGTCATACAGAAGGTTTTTTGTTTTGTTTTGTTTAGTTGAGCGTTCAGCAACACATCCGAGGCGAGTCACCGGCTTACACAGTGTCGTCTCTGCCGACTACATGATGAGGGGCGCCGTTTTCTGCACCAGTCCGCGCTCAACGCCAAAAGAAAACGCAGGAGTCATGTGACAACACACAATCACTTCCAAGATGCATGAGCAGAAGCAAGTTGTTCTGGAACAGTGGGCTATTCGCTCGCTCCGTAGCAATATTAATCATGCTAACATCTTTACCATGAGCACCAGAGTTAATGGCCACCGTGCATCTGACATGAGAAAGTTTTTGAAAGTGGTGTACTCAAAGTCAGTTCATATTGTCGGGGCACCAAAGGAAAAGGAACATTCTCTATAGCACAAGCGAAACTACTCTTTGACAATGTTAAAAGCACATGAAGACAGGCTACATTGTGCATTAAAGATGACTAGTTGCAGTAAATTTCGTAAAAAAAAAATGTTAACATCAGCAGACATACTTCACATCTGGGATACCAGGCCAACATCGAGGCGCTAGCACCACTCTGGCAATATTAGCTGTCAATTTGACAAAATTGTTTTCAAAGAATATGATCTACATTGATACAGTGTGTTTTAACCTGATTTTCCTTTAACCACCACTGCATATTCCTACTCACACCTGCTGTTAAATCTTGCAATTTAAGGCGCCCCAGTGATGTTCACATGATCGTACTGGCCTGCTTGCTACGAGACTTATTCCAATAGGAAGCTTCATTTCCAACAAAGATTATTCCATTTTCGAAGAAAACACTGCTCTGGAGAGCACGTGTACATGGGCAAGTGAAGTTTTGGCAACCTTAAGCCAACCTTAACCAGGAAAGAGCTGGAGCTTTTGGAATTACAGACACTAGGCCGAAATTCTTAACATCAAAGAAATACAGAAGATTGATCGCCAGCTACCAGGTATGCTACTGCTTTTCTCGAGAGCTGCTTATAAACATGCCATTTCATCCAATCATCATACATAGGAAAACACGTGAAGTTTCGGAAGCATGTGGATGTCTGGGTAGCCAGGTGTGGCTACTTTGCGCAAATTTGGCAACTTTTCAAGGCCGGTGGCGGCAGAAGAAAACAGTATTGGCTACTTTTTGGCTAGTTTCATGCAGCCCGAATATAAACAAATTAGCAATATGCTGTAAGTGAATAGTGATGAAGAAACTTTGATTGATTGATTGATTGATATGTGAGGTTTAACGTCCCAAAACCACCATAAGATTATGAGAGACGCCGTAGGGGAAGGCTCTGAAAATTTCAACCATCTGGGGTTCTTGAATGTGCGCCCAAATCTGAGCACACAGGCCTATAAAATTTCCGCCTCCATCGGAAATGCAGCCGGGATTACGCAGAAACTTTGTCATCCTACACGAAGTGGTTGGTAAAGTCAACAATGTATGTTGTTATCTCCGAGTATCACTTTGAAGGGTTCTTGCTGTAGTAGTTAACCACAAAGATGGTATATAATTTAGTCATTTGATTATAAGCACCGTAATCATTTTCACATATGCACGGCTACTTCGGGCTACTTTTACTGACTTTGGCTCAAGTTGACTACTTTTTGATTGGTTTTTCTAATTTCCTGGCTAATTTGGTTGATTCTGCCTTACAAGCCTGCTGGATGTAACATCCTTGTTGCAATATTGGTAAACTCACAGCTACAACTGGCAAATGACTGGCTAATACAACAGAAACACGCACACACCGAATTTCATTTTACTGAAGACTATGATTTTTGGGATGGCGACGGCCATAATTTCCTATCAAATTGTTGTTCCTTCGAGAGTTCGTTTTTCCTGGCTGAGCACCTTACATAGCGCAGTCACATAAACAAGGGGGCACTTTTCTGTGCCAGAAAATGAAAGCTCTGCATGACATCATTCCAATTCTCTAGTGTGCTTCAATTCTAGGATGCCAATCCAGCAGTTGAATTTTGACATGATGGGAGGCAGCATTTCAAAAAGACTGAAAATAGTGTGGCATTGCTCTCATTTAGCATCAATCTAATGATTGGCACCCCTCCCTCTTTTTTATTGTTAAAGAAGTTTTCAATTTTACAATTTCTCATGTAACTGTCTCCAAAGCCTTTCCACAGATTCTGTTTTAACTGCAATAAATGAAAGTGCCCAATTGTGATGACAGTGAAAACGACAGCTTACTTTAGTGTCACATATTACCTTGGGTGCCGTTAGTAATCTACCTAGAATGCTGCTTACTGTATAACCTGATGACCTTGTGTCCTTGTGATGAGTATTAGCAGGTTTCGGGGCTTGCCGACAATACACAAATTGATCACGTCTCTAAACTTTTTGAAATAATTTCCTGAACCTCCTCCATAAAGTGCCACAAATTCCCAATTCAGTTCTATTGAAATCGCTGGCAGAGAAAAATAGCATGTCAACTCTGGTTGATGCAGCCTGCTGACATCGCAAAGAGAACAACATGGATGCGCAGCTGGGTTTCGAGGACCGACGACACTTTTCGGGCATGCTACGCCCCCCAAATCATACAGCTACTTCCAAAAACTCTCTCAGATCAATGCTGTTCCTGTATCTAGGCCATTGCTTTCTCAGACACTCAAGCAATAGCTTAGGGTGCTGTGTGGCCTAAGATTCACCACAATGCACATGAAGGTCATCACCATAATTTTTTTTTTTTTTTCAGACACTTCACTGCGAGTGCCTTTTGGCGATGCGCAACACCGGTCCTGCAGTGTTGCACGACGGATAGAGCGATGAGGGTAGGAGATAGCGAAACAATCTCCTGCTTTTTCTCTCAGCTTCGTTCGAGGGGTGTTGCAAGAGAGAAAAATGAAGAAATACCATCGGCAGCGAGTCACAAATAGGAAACGTGAAAGCAAAACATCTGTGCCATTGCATCGCCGAAGTAAACCTAGGTGCGCAGCCAATGTAAGCTCATCACTGATCCCCTGCGGCGATAAAGGCCAGCTTCAACAAAACTTTCGCACCGTATAAAAAGCATGTTTTAACATACTGAGGTGCAGAGAAGCTTGTGTCGAAAATTCTTGCTCTGAAAGCAGACGCATCCCAACAAGCTTTTCTAACAACCTGGTTTTCGACGACAAAACTGGAGACGTAAAAAAAACACTACTACTGTGATGCGTGATGCGTGACCCCAGCGTGAAGGCGTGGCTCAACGGCATTTTGTCAGGCAAGACAGGCAAGACAGGCAAGACCTGAATATATCGGACACGATCTACCCGGAATTTTGCTGTAGTGACAGACATCATGCGCGGGCACTGCCCACTTAGGCCATCGCTGCAGGTTGCCCACAAGAATGTTACACGATGAGCCTGGTTACCTTGTTGAGAACGCTTCACTAGTACCGTGCTCCTCAGTAGTAACGAGTTTAATTGAAGTGAAATTTGGTTGCAACCAACCTTTAACCGTCACTGGCTCAGTGTGAGGCTTGCAGAGGCCCATTTTTAACGGTGGCTACTGGGATCGTTCGAATACTGCTGCAACTCCGACTTGACTTCTCTTCCCCCCTCCATTTGCGCAAACCGGCACTCTCGCGCCCGACCAGTGACGGGCAGTGCCCCCGGGGGAAATGCGCCGACGCCCAGTTTTTTTACCATTTCAGTCTCTCGGAAGTGTCTTTCCTACTAGAGTATGGCACCTGGCCAGAAATTATGTACAGTAACTGTATATGCCATATTTATAATATATATAATATTTATATTTATATGTATGTATACATACACAATCCTAGATGCCCACTCCCGTGTTGAAGGGGAGGGCAAACAGAAGCACACGCGGTACAAAAGAAAAATATTGGACACGCAGAGCGTGCGGCAGATAACGGCCCGACAACTCCAAAGGGAGTGAACTCCGCGTGACACACACTGTGGGAACTGCGGAAGCAGGATGAAGGCAACGATATGAAATGTCGTGGAAAAAAATTGGAACCGGGCGTGGCACTTCTTTGACAAAACCTAGAGGGTTTTCTGCTACTTGGATATTATTCTGCACATCCGACCCATGGAGCCCGCAAGGACGACGGAGTCCATAAATAAGAATAGGTGCACAAGCGATGCACGTGCGCCTCATTTCACGCGAAACACGATGACAGGGTCGTCTTCCTTTTCTTTCAAGAAAGCCTCGCTTTCGAGTGCAGGGTGAACACAGAAAGCGCAGCAGGTCACTATCATCAATTTCACTGGCACGCACACAAACATACGGCACCGTAGAGTCCGAGTTGACGTTCAGCTCAGCGCAATACTATACACTGCTAAAGTGCAACAAACTACACATCATTCTTTCTGAGCCGGCCTAACGTGTAGTTCATTCTCAACAATTCTAATTCGGCGCAGCTACGCAAGAACCAAGCCACTAGGTTCGTTGAAATGGTTAAAACATAAACAAAAAAAGCCCGCCCCCGAGGGAAGGCACTCTTTTAAAAAAACTGTGAAAAGCAAGTTTCTGCTGTTTTTTTTTTCTTCTTTACATGATTATATGGAGGCTAATACCATGAAAAGAAAGTAAACAGAGGAGGCAAAGGCTTCGAGAAGAAACAAAAAAAGGTGAGCCTGGAAGACTGCCTACGATCACATGCACTCCACAGATAAACCCCTTTCTAAGACATGCACGCGCACACGGCACTGATCAACAGATCATAGACTAAGGCACGTAAAACTGCAAGTTTTCACACATCTCTAAAAAAAAAAAAAGTCTGCGCGCCAAATTTGCAATTACAGCGCAACGATGGGCGCAATCGATCGGCAATGTATCAAAGGGGAGATGGGAGGCATCCACACACTAAGAAAGGAAGATGAGGGGCGCCAAGTTGCACGCCAGGATCCCCAACGATGGCCACATGCTTCGGCTTCGCTTTTCGCAGGACGAAGTGACTGGGTGGAGAGTTCCACCATTGCTGCACTGCCCGTGCAGGTGTATCCACACGGCAAACAACTGCACAAACTACTAATCTGCACGAATCCCATAGCTCATTTGGCTGTTGACGACAGCGTTGAGGAGATGGACGAAATGGGCGGGTGCCATCATGCGCATCGCCCCGGTCAAGTAGTGGTCATGACTTGACAACAATATCTGGGGTTTAACGTCCCAAAACCACTATACGATTATGTGGGACAGCATAGTTGAGGGCTCCGGAGCTTTCGACCATCTAATATTTTTTAACATGCACTGACATCGCAACACGTCTCTACCATTTCACCTCCACCGAAATGCAACCGCCACGGCTGTAATCCAACTCGCGACCTTCGGTTCAGCAGCCGAGCGCCATATCCTACGCCACCACAGCGAACTTGTTTCAGAAACAAGTCGTCACGCTTTGTTTGGCTAGACTGTTCCTCAGACTTGCTTTAGATCTGCATTTCCACACATTGACGGCAAGGCACTCACACCATTTGCCCCGTGTAAGAGACCTCTTTTCAAGTTACTGAGCTTTGTGAATACTAAGAAAGATTGCAACGGCCATACGATGTCTCTCGTGTTTGCCCATCTAGACATCCACTTTTTTTTTAATTTCCTGTGCTGCCCTCTATCATTTCGGTGGGGGCGGCGACAACTGGTTTCGCCAGAACGAAAGGCTCCAAGAACGAAAGAAGTTTCACAAATTTTCTGCTAGGGGAAGAGAGCATGCACCATGGCATCGTGAAAGAGGCAGATCATTAATGTTTGCACATTCCGAATGCTTTGTATTGATAATGCTACAACCTAAATTTCTGTAAAACTGAAACTTGGCAATTAACCACATACAGGATATTTTCCCTTTTGAATACACAAATACTTGCTTTCTTGCTTTTAAGAGGACATACATTGTAGCGAGGCATGCAAACATCTTGATCTGAATCTTTCTTGTTTCAATTCACGACTACCAATGTGCTTGTCTACGTGAAGCGTGGATAAGACGCTGTAAACAACGATCAGTGATGTGCTGTCGGTCGTTGCACACTTCGGCAGGAAAAAAAACAAATGCCCCCACTTCCCTGAAGGGAATCTTGAGGAAACCTGAATGCATTGCGTAGTGTCGAAAACGGCGTTTCGCACCTGAGAACCCAGCGTTAGAAGAATAATGTTTTCTGTTTTTTCTTACACCGGGCAGCCGATAGCGCCGTACGCCGCAAGCGGCGTTTTTCTGTCGCGAGAAATGTGGCTTCCCTTTCTAGCTCTAGCAGCTAGCGTGCACGGTTGAAAAATACTACTACAAGGTAAACAAAGCAAACAGCGTTCTCGGCTCGGCGTTTCACAGCGGCTCTCGTGCACACATTTCAGGATGTTCTTGAGAGGCGCCCAGCCAGCGAACGGTCGAGAGTGAGGCGCAAGTGGACGGGAAAGTGGGGAGCAGGGAGGAGAGAGAGCGATCGGCAAGAGACATGGTGGGGGCTCCGGTTGCTAGAGATGCGTGCGCCCGCAACTGTTGCTATGGGAGAGGGCGGTGGACGGATCCCGACAAACGCCTGACATAGTCCGATTAAGAAATGCATTCGCATTTAAAAAGAAATTGTTCCGTCGTGTGGATGAACCGTACAACAGCCAGAAGCGATGACAAAGAAAATAAGAAAGAAGAGCACCCACACATCGTAAACAAAATAAAAACGCATCAACTGAGCAAGTGACAACGATGAAGAAAAGGATTGCATGCCCGCAAACACATACACTCGCACATGCAGTTGTCTCGCGATAAAAAAAGATCGCCGTTTGTCAAGAACGACATCGTCGCCAACACCGGGGGAAGCAATACGGCAGGCGATGACCCAAGAAACAAACAAAATACAGGAAACAACCAACAGTGGCACCTACAGAAAAATAAAAGGTCCTGTCGTGCCCGGCAACGTCAACAAAGAACTTTGGTTGCGACAAGGGTGGACGAAAGGCGATGCAGAGTAGGAGATAAAAATATGAGGATGGTCTTCAAGGAAGGTCGTGCACTAATAAAAAACAAAAAACAAAGGGTGGGAGGGAAGGGAAACGACAAGCTTTGATGAGGCCATGGATTGGCACGTGACAGAAAATCGTTCCCGCCGTGCTTCCAGCACGAGTCGCAAGCCGTGGTGGTGCCTAGAATGGAGGCATGCCATCTGCAACAGAAAACCAACACGGCGACAGTTAAACTAGAGTTAGCCGAAGTCTAACCTTGATGTAACAAACTCGCATAGCAAGCAGTCTACGTGCACTGGCACTGTGGCGGGAAAAAGGAAACGTCCTTATAAATCGAGAGGTTACAGCAGCCACCATTACAGTCAAGCCAGGAAGACGTGGCTGTACGTTAAATGTGCTACAAGTAGGACATAACTTATCACATCTGTTTCACTCACATTTCTCATCTTGCACAGTTGACCGTACAAAGCCGAAAACTATTGGACATATTATCAGGTTTTTGATAACGACCAGACAATACCACCCCAAAAATAATAAACAGGACTCTTTGGTTAGCGCATTTACACCCTTGCAGGTCGACCCATTTTACCCAACTTCAAGACCTGAAGTCAGGGGGGGGTTGATTTGCAGTCAAAGCCAGAACTAGAGGCGTTTTGAAACTAGAGGCCCTTGAAGTGGCTTATACCAGAACGCGAGGCACACATGTAGGTGCAACATATTGACACCTTGGTGACAAAGGTGTCTAATTTTGTAGTGCTGCCACAGTGAGTGTTCAGTTTAAAATTGGTCTTGTTGCACACATTTTGGCATCTCTGTTATGGTTTCCACGCACGCACCGCATTTAACTTATTTGTTGATTTCTGCAATTAAAGTTTAAATTACACTCAAACCTCGTTATAATGTAACGGGATATAACGAAAAAATTCCCTTAGAAAGCTCCATTGAGAACCATGCATCTTAAACATCGTTGTAATGAAGTAAAATTGACCGGTAAATGGATATAAGGAACTACATTAGTCTATAAAATAGTCCACAAAAAACACAATTGTTGTGTGTTAAGTATATCGTTTTCTGCGGAGTTTGACCCTCATTAGGCACTGCTCTTTCAAAACTCCTGCGCCGACTTTACAGACGCGCTACGCGCGGCCGTTAGAACCGTCATCTTCACCGAGCCAGCGGAGAGGATTGAGGAAATGCTCAGCGAGTCACATGACCGAGAAGCGATGCCGCTGTGCAAAGCGATTTCCTTCTCACTTAAGAACACACGATGGGGGAAGCTTCAGAAGACTTACATTCATTCACAAATCATTGAAGTAATCGGTGGCGTCTGCACATGTTTCCCTTGCAGCGAATCAATCAATTTCACACACAGTTTGCAAAGCATAGTAGCGCGCAGCTACGTCCAGCACCAACGCTCTCTAAAGACGACAGCAACAACTGCGTCTCTGCTGCTACCCTCTGCACAGAACACCTCCGCCTTCTGCACCGAGAAAGGAGGAGCGTCTCCATGCAAAGAAAAGCAGATCAGCATTAGAGAGGGAGCCAACTCTTCGCGACAGCTTTTGCACAGCCTTGAAAGCATGGTGTTTCTTTAAGAAACTCTAAGCTTGAAAGGAGAAGGGTCTCTACGTGCAGAGACAGAAAAAGGGAGAAGCATGGCACAGGCGCATTGCAAATCGGCATTTGAGAGCGAACAAACAATCCTCTAGTCTTTCCTTTTCTTCTTTTCCTTCTTCGCGCGCAGCGTTGAGAGGTGCCGCCACGGGATTGGGCATGGTGTTGAGAACATTCTCGGAGCGCGGTATGTTCAAATTAATCGTCGCAAGTTTGAATTACAGGGCGTTTTCGCCCATTGGAATGCACATAGCTTTGACGGGACCACAGCGCGAGTTCGAATCAACCAGAAGTTCGAATTAAGCGTTTTCAAATTAATGAGATTCGACTGTGTTTACTTTCCGTCGCTTGCGTGGTCGCGTAGCGGTACATCGGGCCACAAGGCAGTTTCCTTCTTTGCATGCTTATAGGTGCGCGCCCATCTGAGCATACATTGCCACAAACTCTTATAATGGATATAACGAAATAATTGTGGCTCCCCTTCAACTTCATTACAACGAGGTTTGAGTGTAGTCCTTTTTCATTCTGCAGTCTTCTGTTCCCGTATAGGTTACATTTTCGATCGTTCTTCACCTCCTTCGATCACGCATCAAACAGCACAGCTTCAGACATTGCTGTAAGCAAACATTCGCAACAGCACTCGCACACAAATGACACGCGGTATTATACGAAAGCGTGCAGATGTGGGCTCAGAAGCAGCCCTTACCAGAACCTCCAAGGGCATGTTCGGTGACGCTGAGGCAGAGGGACTCCAGCCGGTTGTTCAGGTCCGGGTCGTTTGCCGAAGTGTCAGCTTGCATGCGCCCTGCACGTGTGAAGCTTCCCGTCAAATCCGAAGCCTTGCTTCTCCAATCACAAACACCTCAAACGTGCCTATCTAGCCTTCTATACACTGACCTCACCTTATGTAAATAGAGTTGAACTCGATAATATTAATTGCCGTGGTTTTACGAACCGAAACTAGGATCCAATTAGGAGGCATGCTGAAGTGAAGGGCTACAGAAATTTGACCACCTATACTATGTTTCATATGCAACGCTGTGGAGGCTAGTGAGACCTCATGCAGTCGATGCAATCGCAACAGAACATTGTTCAATGTTCTTATCACCAATAGCATAATTTCTAAATCGATATTACGGCGAGAAGTCACTGAAGATTTTTTGTGCCTTACAAACCAAAACGCCGTTAAACGTCCATTATTATGCTGCTGGATAGCTTAGTTTTCACGTGATGTCACGCACTCTGGTCTGGGTGTGCCACGATGTCGGCCACTTAAGGGGGGACGTGGCAAGTAAAACTAATTTTTTTATTAATGTACTGTTTGTGATGAAATTTGGTGTGTGTATGTGGATGATTGTGAGGATTCCAAATATGAAAACCGTTTTCAAATACCTCTTGTACTTTTTGAGTTACAAGCATAATTATACTAATTAATGCTCTTCACACTTAAAGAGATAATTATTGCTAAATGAAATTATTTTTTCATATTATTATGTTCCCAAAGCATCAACTTGTGCAAAGAAGCTATTAGTTGATTTTTCTAGTTCTTGTAACCATAAATAAAATTTCCAAAACATGAATGTTGTTTTGCGCACACATCGCAGTAATTATAAAATGTGTTCTAAAAATTTTAAATGATGAGTAAGAAGAGAGATAAAGCTTTATTGCACTGCTAAAGGCCTCCTGAGCCTAGTGCAAAAAACGGAACGACTCTATCAGTCTTTGTTAGAAAATGACGGATGTTCTAGCGAAGGCACATAGGCGAAAATCAAGAGTTGAGAAAACTGACTTTGAAAGTTCACTCTTGTTTGGAAGTTCACAACATGCCTAAAACACTCAGAATCCTCCTGGGCAGTAATCCTGAGATGCTGTGGCCTTGGCCTCTGTAGAGCGCAACCCAGTTTTGCGCTTCTTTGTCGTGGAACAATGCGCCTTTTGAGCCCTCTTTACCCTTTTGGCATCCTTTTCGGCTGCTCGCCGCAAAGAGCAGTCTCCTGGATTGAAGCCCAGTTGAGCAGTGATCTCTTGCAGCGCACTCTTGCATCCACCATTGAAACGGCAGACTGCATCTGCAACTGCACTTTCCACACTTCGAAGGGAGGCGAACTGGCTCTTGGACTGGAGTGACCAAATGAGGCTGTTCATACTCTCCACAGCGTTCTGGGTTTTTCCCTGCGCACACCTTTCAAGGAGCTCTTTGTTCGAGAGGCGCTTGTAGATTGGCAGCAGTGCCACTCGCACGTGAGGGGGCAGTTTATGTTTGTGAGGCGGCAGCGGCTCTCCCTTGGCCAATGCCTGATTGTGCGGGCACCAGGAGTCAGTCCCACTTGGGCACAGGTTGTGGTGTGGATCCTGGTCTGTGGATGTTACATGGTAATAAGTGGCCATGATGGCCCTCTCCATGCCAGGAACATCGTTGGGGTGGCTCTTAATGGCCCAGCCATAATAATTCGTCAACTTCTTTATCAGGCCCTGCGTCAGCCGGCCTTTGCCACCCATGCTCAGTCCTCGGCCTTTGGATTTGTGCTCATCAAGAAGGTTGCGCAAGGAAGTGCCCATTCTTTTTTTCACATGGTTCACACACTCCTGTTTCTTAATCACCATGTAGCCATACACCTTGTCTTGCGTGAGGGCAAGGTACGTACGGCTGTCACCGTCGCAGAGCACATTGATGTATCGAAGCTTGTACTTGGTAAACGATCTTTCAAACATGATCCTAGCTGCTTCTACTTCCATTTGGCCTGCATTAGCATCGGTGTTCTTTTGGCACTGTGGCTTGTGTTTCTCAAGCCACTCCTCATAGTTGTCGTCACCAGGCTTGGGGCCAACAGCACAGCCTTGGCAGTAGTTGGACAGGACACAGTGGTCCAAGACCAAGCCTGTGTACAGCTCGATTACACAGCCCACGCCAATATGACTTCTGTGCCCCCTCGTCATCCACGTGCCGTCGTAAATGACGTCAATGTTGCCTGGCACTCCTCCTAGGTCCTTGTAAATGTCATGCACCTTCTGTGCACTTTCTGCTTCAATGCGGGTGGCAGCTGATGTGGTGGCAGGGTGGCTGTACTTCCTTTGCAGTCTCTGGTAGGACTTGTGGTGCAGTGCTCGATGCGAAATGTCCATCGCAGAAAAAATGTCATTTATGGCAGATTGTTTTCTGCCAACTGACTGCACAGCCCTCAAAACACGCACGTTTACCTCAAAGGGGTTCGTTTTTTGTTGCCCGGAGCACCTCGGGGACGACCACGCACTGTTCACTCTGCCACAATTGTCACAAAAAAGTTCCATCCTCGCCGCGAGTCCAAGGCAGTGCGTAGTCTCGAGGCGTATCGACCCTTCGTCGCACTTGTTGCACTTTACTGACGAAAGCAGACCGTTCAGCATCTTCTTATTTACAATGAAGAATGTGGAGTCCTTACCGCCGTCATTTTCGTCGCAGCCTTCGTTCAGAAGCTCGAGCTTCCGCTTTGAAGCGGACTTCGATGCTACGGCATCCAAAACATCCCGCCTTGTCTGCGCCCGCTGCGCGATTTCTTCACTGCTCGGAATCTGGGCCGAAACTCGCGATAGAATGTTCGACGCGCGCACGCCCGGAGTTGCAACGGCTGCCGACGCGGTGCCACCGCAATCGGGTTCGCGAGAGCGTCCATCACGGTCGACGGCATCCGGCGGTCTGACATACGACGATGTGGCACCTTCCACACTCTCGGCCTCACAACAATCAGCGAAGGGTCTGAGTAGAGGCTCCGTGACGCTTGAAGAGCATGCTCCGTCCGGAACTGCGACTGGGACGGCAGCCGCAGTCGTCTGCCCTTTGTTCCAAGCTTTCCGACGCTTGCCGTACTTGTGGACGCTCCGGAACTTTTTTTGCGGCAACATAGCACCGCAGTATGAGCAAGCACTCAGAAGAGACCACCGATGTAAACAAAGCTTGGTAAAAAAAGCACGCGAACTATCACAAAAACAGCAAACTGGCAAAAAACGAAGCGCACGCCGGATGATTCTCGACTCGGCGGCCGCAGATGCGCTCGCGCTTCCAAGGTTGCCAAGGTGCGCGGCGCAGCTTTGACCAGTAAGAGGTCGCGCCTGCTACCACGTGACCCGCGCAGCCAATTGCCGTTCTTCGTTTTCGTTTTTTTACTTGCTCCTCGCGCTTTTATTTTCACTCGGCGAAATACGAGACCGCGACCATCGGGAAGCCGGCTTTCTCCTCTTTCCAAAGCTACCAAAATGGCGGCCCACGGTCAACAACTTGGCGCGTTTGTGCGGCGTGAACAACACCGTTTCAGGGGCTTTTTTTTCGCACTTTTCGGCGACTAGCCTCGGCAAAAACACTATTTGCGGGATTTGTAGCGCACGTTTCGCTGTAATATTTTAGAACAAGGAAGTTGAAGGTCTGAAGATTACGAAAAAAAATAAATCAGAAAATCGCATATTTTGACCAAAATCGGCACTTTACTTGCCGCGCCCCCCCTTAAATTTTCTATCTCATGAGACAGTATCACAGCAGAGAAGAACACCAGAGTCGTTCAGTCCTCGTGCTATTTTTTGTGCTCTCCAAGCGTTCGCACCAGTTGCGCCAAGGGGGAGCGTGAACAAACGCGGTGGTGCACCGGCACCAATCAAATGACATGCGAACGACCACGAGATGTGTGGAGTGATATAATTTGCTGGCCAAACCTTGCATAGCTTCTACGGCGTTGCACCTGATGTGTGAGACGTAGTACCGTATTTACTCGCATAATCCTCGCACTTTTTTTTTTTTTGACGAAAAACCGATGCAAAGTTGGGGGGTGCGAGAATTACGCGGGGAAAACTTAAGGGGAAAGTGGTTGCAAATCAGGATTTTCACACCAGCAACTAACAGCAAGCTTTGAGAAGCACTAAGTAAAACTTACCTCAACAATAAAAGCACAAGTTCAACACAAGGCAAGTTTTATTTGAGACTCAAAAAGTGCAAGGAAATAGTCGAGAATTAGAATACCAAATGCAAAGCTTGTGGGCGTGGCGGGCGTAGCGGTAACGTTTGTCGCTCAACAGGAGCCCTCAAAAGGTAAGCGTAGGACGTCAGTATTGGGTTAATGGCTATCAAACAAAATTGTCTGCAGTTTCCTTCAGAAGAAATAAAGTTTACCATCAATCCCAGTTTTAGGCACACGGAAGGACCAACGCGTCTTGGTGGTTTTCAGCTGCCGTCACCAGTAGCGAACACAAAACTCGTAGGCTCAGAAGGGCCAACCGGAGGCCCTGTTGCCGTTGTTTTGAGCACAATCTATCACTTTCAGCTTGAAATTAGCCGTGTAGCTTCGGTATCGCCTCATAACGTGACAAGATTACCGACACAGCATACAAAACACGCCGCAACGTGCACTTGCCACTTTGGCTTGGCTTGGATTGAATTGAATCTCTGTGCAATAATAGAACGCTTCATGCATAAGAGATAGCGCCAGATGGTGTGTGCTATCATCATCAGTGGTTTGAATGAGCAGACAACATTATTGCGACAGTTTTTGGGGGTGCGATAATTACTCGAGGAAAAAAAGAAATATTTTTGTTGGGCGATGTGGGGGTTGCGAGAATCATGCGAGTGCGAGGATTACGCAAGTAAGTACGGTATTTTATAACAAGTTATACAGTGTACGGTGCATGGGCCTCTTAATATCTCTCCTCTATGTAAACTTGACCACTGCAGCGGGTATCAAACCAGAGCCTTTTGGGTCGACAGTTGAGCACCGTAACCACTGGACCACCAGCGACCCTGATGTGCGCATCATCAGCGTAAAAGAATTTTTGGTAGGAATGCTAGAAATTGGAACTTTTCAAGAGTGGAAATGCAGGCAAGGGAAATGATGATTATTGCTATGTGAAAAAAAAAAACAAAAAAAAAGAACAAGCACTGCAAACTGTCTATAGTGTGTGGCCAACACTACAGCTTTCGGTAAAAAGCCACTGCAAAAGCAATACCGTATTTACTAGCCTAATCTTCACACTCGCATAATCCTCGCACCCCCCCCCCCCCCCCCATTGCCTAACAAAAATAAGATTTTTTTTTCCTTGAGTATTAATCGCACCCTCGGAAATTGCCCCTATAATGTCGTCTGCCCGTTCCAGCAGTTGATAATGATAGCGTGTGCCATCTGTTGTTATCTTTTAATTATCAAGTGTACTATTATTGCATGGAGATTCGATCCAATCCAAGCCAAATCGGCAAGCGCGCGTTGCGGCGTGATTTGTTTGTTGTGTCGATAATCTTGTCACGTTATGGGGCGATATTGAAGCTACACGGCTGCTTTAAAGTTGAAAGTGATTGATCATGCCGTAAAAAACGGCAACAGGGCCGCCGGTAGGCCCTTTGGAGTCGACGAGTTTTGTGTTCGCTACTGGTGACGGCAGCTGAAAGCCACCAAGACGTGTTGGGCCTGCCTTGTGACTGGTATTGATGGTAAACATTATTTCTTCTGAAGGAAACTTGGGACGGTTCTGTTGAATAGCCATCAGCCCAATACTGACATCCTACGCTTACCTTTTTGAGAGCTCCGGTTGAGTGACGAACGCTACCGCAACGCCCACAAGCTTTGCGTAGGGCATTCTAATTCTCGACTATTTGCTCGCACTTTTTGTGTCTCAATTAAATCTTACCCTGTGTTGAACTTCTTTTATTGTTGAGGTTAATTTTAATTAGTACTTCTCAAAGCTTGCTGTTAGTTGCCGATATGAGAATCCCAATTGGCAGCCACTTCGTTTTCTTTTTCGCTCTGTACGCTTTTGTGGAAAGTTTTCCCCGCGCAATTCTCGCACCCCCCAACTTTGCGTTGGTTTTCTGTCGAAAAAAGTGCAATGATTATGCGAGTAAATACGGCAACACAACAGATTCACTTATGCCGATTGCCACAATGAAATAGAACTGAGTTTTTGTTTATTCATAACTTTCAAGTCCATACAAGAGTTGCCAATGTATTAAAAAAAAGACATTTTAGCCAGTTCCACGTAGCTAAAACTTTTGAACAGCGAAGCTGCAAGCGTGCAAGTGAATGTAACCAACCATTCTTATCATCATCATCCTCTAGAACATGAACACAAGCATCCTCCCACTCCATTTTTTTTTATTTATTTACACTGTCGGAGAAGAGTCCACCTACCACTGTTAGTCGCAGCCTGTTTGTACAGCGATGCAACCACTGGATTCGGCCGCACGGGAGCCGAGTGGGTCCTCTGGATCTGCACGTGTGGCTTGCTCAAATGCTGTAAACAGGAGAGCACCGGGAGGGAAGTCACACACAAGAGCGTGAAGCCTGCACTTGTGCAGGGTACAGGACACAAAAATGTCCGAAGTCACAGGACCCACCAATTACTCACAGCCAATTAAAGAGGCGGGGCTTTGCGTTAAAGATTGACTAATCCATGTCTTGGTTTCGCGCATGTGTAAACTGTGTGCAAGAAAGCTAAGGCTACGTGGGCCACATATGCAAGCTTGGTTGATTACTAGTACAGCCGCATCACGCATTTCCCACAGCACCAGTCATCAACTTCAAGTTGCCTGCCCGTCATCACATAAGACTTCGTTTTCTGCTTCATTATCCCTCAAAGCAGCTTCAAATTGAAATGGCCTGCTGCCCTATGACATTGTCAACATCACCCCATCATCTACCGTTCAAGAATGCATCACCAAGTTTCTGCAATGTTAATCGAATCATCGCTGTTCAACGTTTACTTGTAATCCCACACCTTATGTAACACCCCCTGAATGGGGGCCTTTACTGCGTAATGTTGCGAATTCGCGACATGCCGAAGAACTTCGAGCAAGCAAGTCACGGAACGCATGCAATTTTTAATGCTGGCTCTCAAGTACTCACGGGGAAGATACAGTAAAACATCGTAAATTCAAACTCGGTTATTTCGAAATACCGCTTAATTTGAAGGATTTCCACGATCCCGTACTTTGCAATATAAGTTTGAGTGAATATAATTTTTAGCGGCAGCCGGCACAAGTCCGGTTAATTTGAAAACTTTGGGTGCCATGTGCCAGTTCCAGATTCTGATTTCGCCACGACAGCTATTAATAGCCACAAGGCAATGCGACGTATTGATGCTAACGAGTGGCAGCTGAAGCACCCCAGCCTCGCTATTTTCAGCACAAAAAAGAAAAAATAAGAAAAAACGATCTCGTGGTCAGCCAAAGCCTGCGCCTGTGGGAAAAGAGTTGTGCTTCACTGCAGCACAGCGGTGACACGCGGGCAGCTTATTGCATGGTTCTCGCAACGTCAGCGGGTCATGGTTTGCCCATTCTTTTTGGGATTGTCAAGAAATTAATAAAGGACAGTTTAGCGGAAATTGCGATGTATGCGAACCTCCGATTGCCGGTCGCTCCAGCAATTCGCGTCTTTGCACTGCTGGCGGAGTGCTTGCCAGCAACAGCTACTTTGAAAACTAAGTTCGAAAGTTTCAAAGATCATTTTTTTCAGTTAAAACACACAGTGAGCTTGGTCATACTGACCATTATTAAATTCATAATTATAATAGAAAGAAAGTGCGAATGACCGCATCATGACGTGCTGACGGAGCAAGGAGCAAGCGACACGCTGCTCGCATGTTACTGTGTTGCAGTGAAGATGTCTTGTTTTCTGCAGGCGCACATTTCAAACAATCACAACCGCGTTTTTTCTTCCATTCCTCCATGTTTGTGGCAAAATAAAGACCATGTATTGCTGGAAAACATGACCTTCGAAACCGCAAGCTAGCCGGCACAGCAAACGACGAGCACTGATTACTTTGAATAGTTCCAAGTTCCTTGCATCCCATTTCTTGTAAGTTCTGTTTATTCGAAAGCTGCTTAATACGAAGCTTTCTCGCAACCCCAGCGACTTCGAATCAACGAGGTTTTACTGTAGCTTACAACACAAAAAACCTAGCGATATCTAGTGTAATGCATTTTTAAGCTAGAACCAATTATTTTGTAGGTGATGGCGAAGAGTGCGATGCGCATGCAAGAGCGCTCACTTCTTCGTTCTTTCTGGCCTGGCTGACGCAAGTTCCATCTTCAATAATTTTGTTCATTTGGTGTGCATGCGCTCAAGACGTGGCACATGACATGTCGTTAGTTCTGAAGTACGTTTTTCATTGCAAGGTACTCACTTCTGTGGCATGTGGAGAATTCGTGACAGACACAAAAGTACGCATTAGAGGTGCATTTTAGATGATTATCTATGGAATTATTCAAAGGTTGCTATTAAAAGCTGGAAAATAAAAACAATTTTTATTTTCTTCAGAGGTTGCATAATTTAGGCATCAAAGGGTTAAGGAAATAGAAGTGAACTGAATTTAATTTAATTGAATAACTATTATTGAACTAGTTATATGGCAACATCATTACACTTGCAGTCCTCAGGGATGTGACTCTGCAGTGTTAGCGGCACACCCACCTCCTGCAGGCTGGGCCTCTTGATAACCATGGCGAGGGGTCCCCCCAGGGGCCCTCCACCGTTACTGCCACCGGGGCAGTCGACAGAGACCCCTCCACCAAAAAACACCGCGGGGGGTCGCCCTAGCGGAGGGGCCACTGCGGGTCCACTGGGGCCGGCCAGCCGGCCAAAGTCCGAACCCCCCGCCAGGGGGGGAAGCACCGAGGAGCCGCACCAACGACTGTAGCAAGAGAAAAGGATAATTGTATATTCGTGGCCACAGGTTGTCAACTTCTGCTGCATATGAAAGAGGCCGAAAAAATTGGCCACGTATCTGTGTGCTCCGCTGCAAATGTCGTCGAAACACTACAGTCTTCTGTCTGGAAGCACTGCGCGAGATACGAACGCCATCTGGCAGTAATGTCCAGAAATAGGAACATTTACAGAAACCAAAATCACTTGCAGATGGCAGCACCATGTCGCCAGCAGAGCGCTTTTTCGTGCATAGCATGGCATCGACACTTTTCAGCAAAGCATAGCTAGACCCGCTTTTTCATTCTTAGCATCACACTTTCAGTGGAGCTAAAAAAAACCTTAGGCCTTTAATATTGCTTATTTATGTATTTTCTAGTAAAAGAACACACCACTTTATACTTTTGTATTATTGTGGCACCTCAGATATGCGTGAAATTTGCTTTTTGACTGGCAGTGTTCCCAAGTATGAATGCTGCCACCAGATCAAGATGGCTGGGCATTGAGAAAGTGCTAAAACGTCGCTGAGTGGCTGAATCGTGCAAGAGACAGACCAAAATTTCTGTGTCCAAGTATCGCAAGGAAGACTCGAAAACGTCAAATAAAAGGGGGGTGGGGAGGAGGCACTCACCCAGCCGGGGGCAGCCGGGGTCCCTGGGCGGTGGCAGCCGTTGCCGCAGAGACGTGGTGATGGCGGGCATCAATCGAACGCCGGGGCGGCACTGGGTGCCAGGCCTTGTGCACCTGCTGTCGCCAGGAGAAGAGGCGCCGCTTTTGAGCGGGGCTGAATGCTTCGTGCGCCAGGCACTTGTCCACCAGGGTGATGAACTGGCTGACGCTCTGGTCCTCTGCTCGCACGCTCACCAACAGGCTGCTGCACACTGCGCAACAAACCGAGACCGATCATCGTCCGCACAAATCGAGAGCAATCGGGTTTTTAAACTGTCCTTTTGGGACAGTGCATGTCGTCCACCAGTCAACTGAAACGAAAACATTTCATTTGCATGCAAGGAAGGTAGTGAAACGAGCTACTTGTTCACAGAAAAGGCATAATACAGCTTCGATAGCTGCATGCATAGTTGGCACACACCTTTATGAAGAGCACATAGATGCTCTACATGGTCAAGTGGGAGGTCCTTCGCGAAAACAAGTTCCCGAAAGGATTGCATCATCCGCTAGGTCTCCTGCGATGACAGTGCCCATGTAGGCTGCTCAACCGCGTCGTTGGAGCTGTCCCTCTCACCACTATCAGCACCATGGTGCGGAAGCCCATTTGCAGCACGTGCTGCAGCCGGATGCATATGCTATATCCGATATGCAGGACTGCAGCATCATAATATGCGGTTTATTTTAGCACAAAAAGCTTACGAAAGTCGAAGATGCAATAGTTACACATGATATATTGTAATAAACGGTATCGTTACAAATTGACTTCACTGTATTAGAAAAAACTCAGTGGGTACGCACAACAGGAAAAGGGCACGCGCCAAGCGGCTCTCTTAGCATACCATATTTATTCGAATCTAGGCCGATAGTTTTTTCTTTTTTTTCAAATTTCTTTGCATCAAACTTTAGGGTCGGCTTAAATTCTCAAGGATTTTGAAAAACGTGCCATTTTTCATTATGAAAAGTAACGCACAACTAGTGCCACTTAGACCGTATCATGGCCTTTAGTAGCCAAGCCAACACCTGGCTTACTACATACGTGAGGCCGCCAGTTTGATCTTTGCGGCGAGTGTCGAGGTGAGTTGTTTGTCATTTTGAGTCGTGCTTCGAGTGGTGTGTGTGGCGTAGCTCAATGGCACCAAACAAGCGGTGTCATTATAGTGCCGCTTATAAAAGGAACGCTGTCCTAGCTGCGGAGTCATAGTCCAACCTGCAAGCAGGGCGGGACTTGGGAGTGGTCGAAAAAAATGTACGTCACTGGAGAGGCTGCGGCATGGGACGACAAACCAGAAAGTTTGATTGTGCGCTCTTTCAAGAAGTGCGGCATATCCAATGCGCTTGATGACACCGAGGACTGCACACCGCTTGCAGACAGCCACAAAGAAGTCGGCGAAAAGGGAAGCAACGATGACGACTCGAAATGAACGCAAAATCTTTATGACGCAACTAGAAGCAGGGCGAAAAAAAAAAGACAAAAAATACACACAACAGGACTCGCAGTTGTATGTTTTTCAAGTTATTTACATCCCGAACCAACTGCTTTGTTTTATCTTCATGTTCAATAAATGTTCTCTTTTTGTGAACACTCTCTCCGCTGTTTCAATAAATGTTTTCTTTTTGTGAACGCTGTCTTTGCTGTTTGGTTCGGCCCACATTCGAGGAAAGTTTTTTTTTTTCTTTTCTTTTAAGACTGCACATTTGGGGGCGGCCTAGATTCAAGCAAATGCGGGCATGGTATAATATAGCAAGCGGTTGATAAAGGCCAGTGAGGGTGAGGATGAAGGAAAGGAGATAGGAGAGGGCAAAGCATAGCATAGCCTTGTATAGTATAGCAAGGCCACGAGAGAAGGTTTAGAAGTGTTGTACAGGCGAGGGGTATGAAAAAAGAGGAGAAGGTAAAGGTTTGCACAGCCATGTATAGTACAGCAAAGGGAGAAAAATTAAAGAGAGGATGAGTGATGCGAGGAGGTTGCGAAAGGGTAAAGCAGAGCGTAGCCATGTATACTAAACACAACAAGGAAGTGGGAAACTGAAGTCAGGGATAGGAGAAGTGCTGCGAGGGTTAACAAAAGGGGAACGGTACTACCTCTGCTCTTTTCCGATTCTTCACGCCACAAGTGCATAGCTCCCCCTCCACCCTTTTTTTCATTAATGGCAGCCACTAACTAACCGAGCTAAAATACTACAGTGGAACTTTAGAAAACAAATACTGCCTCAAGAGGACTGCTGCATAAATGAAACTACGAAAATGGAACAAGATATCATAATGTTGAAGGTATGCAAAAACTGCCGTGCGACGCAGTTCTATACTTTTGCATGAAACTTCAAAACGATTTTGGAGATATTCAGAGGAGCAAATAGCTTTATATTTACAGATTCGATATTTCCAACTTCCGCTGTGCCGACAGTACAGTGCTACTGCATTGTACAGTAGAACCTTGCTGATAGTTTTCTGTTTTTTACAGTTTTCTGGTATCAACATTCACAACTGTTGTTAAACTAAACTGCAGGATTGTTTAGTAAATTTGGATTCCGTACTTATTCAGATGTTTTTTTTTTTTTATAGTGCATTTCCCTTAAAAAACGTATGTAGTACGAGATTCTACGGTGATCAGTCAAAAGTCTTCACTACCCCAATACCCACCTTTTCCAACCACTCTAGTGAATAGACCAGGCAGGTCTTCGTCCTCCTCGCCGGAAGCATCCATTGCCGAAGCGGCGGCGCCGCCCCCTTTACTGGGACTGTGCGCTGGACTCTGCCCACCGCAGGCAGAGTCCAGGGAAGACGGGGGACTCTCTTCCTCCTTCGACCTCGCCCCTTCTTCCTCTGCCGTGGAGGACACAGATGCACCTCCAACCATCTCGTTGCCGTTGCCGGAGGAATGTGGAGCAGCAGAACTTGACGAGCCGGGTGAAGATGCCCGCTGAAGCGATCCACCGTCCTGACCATCCTCCACGCGGCTTGAAGCTTTCATTGGCGTCTGGAGCATGGCACGGAGCTCAGCCAGGGCTGTGCGGATGTCGCCTTCTTCTTGGAGACTCTGTTGACAAAAGGGCGTGCACGTGGTCGGAACCACAAAAAGGTGGGAAGGCCTTTCGTGGCAGCATTAGAGCGTATGCTATTAACGTTCCCGCGCTCGCCACGGCGGTCTAGCGGCTAAGGCACTCAGCTGCTGACCCACAAGTCACAAGATTGAATCCCAGCCGTAACGGCCACACTTTCAATGGACCCGAAAATGCTCGAGGCCCGTGTGCTTAGATTTAGATGCACGTTCAAGAACTCCAGGTCGTTGAAATTTTCAGGTCTCTCCACTACTGCTTCTCTCATGATCATATGGTGATTATGAGATGTTAAACAACTATAATTATTATTATTATTAACGTTCATGCTATTAGTCGAGCTTCCTCCACTCAGTAACGTCCAATATACCGTATGTGCTACACTGTTTTAAACCTCGTACATGGGAAATGTAAGAGTGCCTTCTAATGTAGTACTTTCAATGAGCTGGAGTTCTCATATTTACGCAACTTCAGCAAATGATTTAGTGATTAGTTCAAACGTGTAGTATTGAATTTACAACTGCAATAATGTTTCAGTGCCTCTTGCACGAACATGCCCACTCTTGGTGCAAAAATATAAAAGTGCACAAGACATTTAAACTTGTTCCTGATGTGGAACTAAGGACAATACAAGGTTAAAGGGGCCATGGCACCAAAGTATTGCAATTAATTTACACACAGCATGTCAAACCATAGGCATCGTAGAAAAAAATGGCAAAATTTGTGCAAGATTCAGTGTTGTTGACAATTTATGCTTGAATCCTTTGAAGTTGAATTTATGCTTGAATCCTTTGAAGTTGCAGCTGTCCTATAAGCAGGGTGGCGTGTTTCCATATTTTAAAGGGTGTGGTAGCAAAACTTCCAGTCACCGTCACAAGTGGAAAAGTCGCATGACCGGAGCAAAAACATCATACCAGGCGTCACTAGTAGAGCAGCATGTTGCTGCCTACTATGATTCTGGCAAAATAGCGAAATGCTGTGTGAGAATCATGAAGTGACACAGCACACACTGGCTCCCTAGTGACACAGGCCAACCACTGACACCAGCAAAACAGAATTGCTCATAATACAATGCCACGTAAACGTTCCCTTTCATTCAAACATTATGGCAGTGGTACGACGTCATACATGACGTTTCTGCTCAAGTCAAATGACTATCCTGCATACGAAGCGATGTCTCTGACAAAAAGCTAAATGGGTCGGCATAGGTCAACTCCAACCGAATTTAGAAAGTGCATAGAATATAGAAGGGCTATAGAATACAGAAAGGCTAGATTTAGTCGGTGAAGTTTAGAACTATCTGCAGAGAATTTTACACTAGAAATTGAGAATGAATTTCAGTGGTTAGAGTGTGCTTGTGTCATGTACCTTCTAGACTTGCATCTTGTTCGCACTGGCCCGACCATAAGTATCTTCCCATTTGCCCAGTTTGCCAAAAAGTCTTGACATGCTGTGCAGCAGGCAAGAAACAATGCACAACAGGCACACTGCAGCATTCTGCAACTTCAGCTAACAAATCTAACGAGATGGCACCAGCGGTGTTCCCCACACTACTTCATGACAAGGTCCTCTGCAAAAGCTGCGGATCAAGACCTCACCTTCTCGAGCTGACGCAACGTGGCCGGGCGCTCTTTCAGCTTGCGAATGCTAAGCACAATCTTGTGACGTGCTCCTTTAGTCACGCTCTTCGAAAGAAAACGGCATCCGGAATGCATGAAACAGAGGAAATGCGTGATGAGCTCAAGAAAAAGAACACACAACCACAATTCATTGACGATTTAATGGTGAGCAAGGAAAAAATGCAGTGGCATTACCTTTAATTATTGCCTGCAATTACATTTAAAGCTTTGACTAGTCACCTTCAGTCAACAGTTATCAAATTGTAGTCAGCACTAGAGATCATCAGCTACCACTGGGCCCCATTAGCAATCATTAGCCAGCAAGCATGGGCCCAGTATTGTTATAATTATCCACCTGCTTGACAACACTAGGCTTAGTGCCAGCCAGAATAAGCCAGCGGTGGTAATGCGACGTAATATGTGAAAGTTTTTTTTTTTTTTTTGTAACGAAAATTTTTGAGAAGCATAGCATCTCATTAATTCAGAAACTAGATGTACTGGGGAGAAGCTTGGATGGCAGATTGATATTATCACTGTCAATAACTTGTGATTCTCAAAACACTGCATGCACAATAAGTGGTCACATGAGACCAGGGCATCACAACATTTTGTCACAAGCTCCTAACAAATGCAACATCAAGTAACTGTCACAAAATCGCCATTCACCACAATAGAGCATTTTCTTACAGTATTTTACTTAAAAATGGAAGGCCAATGGCATTTAGGGAATTAGCCCACACTCGATGGTGTGCAATTATTTGGGAAAAACTAGGTGGCAAAAGCTGTTTCGTGACGTATGTCAGTGTCGTGACGGTAACGCCTGAAGCCAACGTTTCGCATGTCTCTATTCATTACCGCAGTGTGCGGCTACTTGATATGAAGACAAACACAGTAGTGTTGCCAACGATTGGCATGCAGGAGCAGGTGTCAAAACGCTGCGCTGCTCTCTCGTGAGCCCCTACTCGGCCATGACATCATGACAGGTAACGTTCTTGCTGGGAAACAAAAATGCAAGCTGGCCGAGAGAATGGTTGCACTGAAAAATTCCAGGTGTTGCGAGGCTTGGTAGCACATTTAGGTGCAAAACAGCCAAAACAGAATCTGGAGCAATTTTTGGAGCAGCAAAATGTTACTTTTGGAGCACCAAAACTCAAATTCGGAGCAGGATATGCAAAAACAAAACATTAATTTTTCTTCACGATACAAAAAACTTGGAGCAACATGAAAGAGAAGGCTTGCATTTAAAAAAAAAGATTATGTAGAAACATTCAACATCCCCTAAATCGTGCAGAGTGAATGGGAGCACTGCTATTTCAATAAAAGTAGCATATTGAACCATTCATCGAACAATGATGAAGTCAACAGTCACATTTGCCACGCCTGTCAAATCCTTCGACAGACCCCGAGGATTCAAATGAGGATCTGCCAAGCTGGCGACCTTGAGATTCGGGAGATTAGTAAAACTGAGAAGTGCGGCTGGTAAAAAAAAAAAAAGAACTGGCACACAGTTTTGCTTAATTTTCCCGGGTAGCTGCAGAAATGTCATACAGTGCTCTAAATGATTGTCAGTAAATTTTCACTCATTAGCAATCATATTAACAGTCAGAATTATGCAAAATATACAAGCATGAGTAATTGAACAAATTATGCTGTGCCCCGTGACTAGTGCTAACAGCCCCTTCCAAATCTTAAGCCGCCTTTCCACAGGTAACCCGTGTTCTGCAGCGAAGGTTGCTTAAATGGCGTTCTGCACGAGTTGCTACAAACAAGGCCTAAAAATCTTCGAACAGCTACACCCATCCCCCCTTCCTTTTTTTAACGATAGGGTTAGGTTAAGGGAACGACTTCCAGGCAAACTTGCAAAGTGCGTTTGACTAGATAATGCAACAAAAGCACGCACCCGTTGGCCCGGCGATGGCACCAGTTTTTAATCGCATGTGCCGTTGCTATGGCAACAAGGCCTCCGGCATGGCCGGCGTTTGCGTACAATATCAGTGGCCTATGCTTCCAACTTTAGTTGCTAACATGCGATAGCTGTGTTTGCCAACTAGGAAATTCATACTTCCCGTGAAGTGTTGCAGGCTATGGCAACGCATTTTTGTCTTGACATTAGGACGCCTCGCCAATAAATATCCACCGTGGTCAGTGGACCGATGAGTGCACGGCATTTTTACTTCAACTGGTCGATCGCGTTTCACGAGTTTGTTAGCCTAATGAGTTTAGGGTGGGGGTCTGCATGCTTGGATCCCTGGACTGATTGATTGATGACGGAAACTACAGCTGACCAATGTGGCCTCAATTTCTCCATGTGGCCTCCATTTAACTTAGCGCAACTGAAAAAAAAATTTTTAGACTGGTCAAGCAATTTGGTGCAGCGTGGCGCAATTTCGTCGAATTTCACGTTTCTAGTGTAGCTCGGTGCGAAAATGGGGAATTATACCAAACTGGTGCAATTGGCAAAGCTGTTGCACCCCTGCACATTTTTTATGCCTCCGACATCAATGTTGAAAATGAATAGCTGAAATATAACATTTCCCTTTCGTTTGAGGCCTTCAACGTTAGTGCAGTAGCACTTCACCAGAGAGTAAAAACGGAAGTGCACGTCATAAGATGCACACAGTTTTACTTTCTTTTTTTTACTAAAGTGTTGGACATACCCGAAAATGAATACCTTTAAGGGAGCACTGAAGTGACGCAGTGAAATGTTTATGATAACATAAACGTTCCTTTGAAAACTCTTGATATTATTAATTGCACTACCATAGTTGTAACAATAAAAGATCAAATCAAGGTCACAGTTTGATATTTAAGTTTCATGCCGCATCTTTTTGTGTAATGTCACGGATTTTGAAGTGTACTTTGTGTGTCTTGGCAACACTGAGCCAACAAAATTTCCTGCCTATCTCTGGCCCTCTTGGAAAACTCTTGGAGAAGAAATTAAGAAATGTGCAGGCCTTCGTAGATGCCATCAGTCTATGATGTCATGGCAACTGATATGAGAATTTTTGAAGTGATGATGTCACCAACATCATTATTTTGCGCATTTTCTCATTTACCATGCATCTTCCTGTAGCAAGATTAAGGATTGTGGTATGAGAGAGCAATTATTTAAATAATACAACTAATTTAGTGTACTATTTTGTGTCCCTTTAAACCCTCCCAGCATAGCAGCTTCAAACATAAAGATGGAAAACGTTAGGATGCAACACAGAAAATGTTAGTACATAAAAACATCAAGATAAAAAAGTATTCTCCAGGTATCACTGAGGGAGAGGGGCTGCCCACAGTGTTCAGTGGCTAAACAACAGCATGTTGAAAGGAGATGAAAAAAGTAGAAAAAAGAGCGTCTCCTGCACCTGGGCCTCCAGTTTCTCCTCGGTGAGGTTCATCATCTCCTCGTAGCTCATGTTGGCAAACAGGTAGGCATACTTGTGCAACCGGAGGCTCTTCAGCCAGCTGGGCACATCTGCAAGCACGCGGCAGTAGAGCTATGAAGCTACCGTAGCGCTTGCAAAGCTGGCACGGGCATACTGACCAACAAAGATGGCGTGACAATGTTGCCCATTAACACTTCTGCAACTGAGTTCTTTGGCTAGAAACACTACAGATATACTAGATTTACATTTTCCTATTTGATTTTAGATGCCTTAAAATGACACAAAAAATGATTTAAAGGCGCTTCATTCACAAGGTGCAGGCAAAACATATTTTTTTTAATATGCAGAGGATTGTCTGTACAGTGCTGCACCCTGGAAAGTGTCTTAACCTCTTCAATCTTCAGTACACTAACTGTATTGATGAAATTAAAAAAAAAAAACGTGATCTCGGGAAAACTAACGTTGCACACGCAGCTGGAGATTTGTTTCCATCATTCACTGTTGATACATTGACACATCCCGACCATTTGAATACGCTTACTTAGAGAAAATATGCTGCTCAGCATAGTCATTGCCACATTCTTAGCAGAACTAAATTTCATCGTCATCGCACAGAACTTCAGCAAACAAGCGTTTCCTTCGCTTTTTATCACGGAGCTGCTGATGGCAAACGTGTGCTGCTTGCGCACAGAGTATGACACTGTTTTCTAATTCCACTAGCACAATAAAGCCCTGTTTCCACCAAGATACATGCTCCGAGTGCATTTTGTGATCTTTACAGCACCACTTGTTGAAGCGTGTAAAGGTCAGACGCACACCCACGGCCAATGTGCAGGTATTTTCGACGCACTGCTGCTCCTTTGCCTTCACCCACGCTCTAGTGACAGCGTGTGGAGATTGATGGGGCGGTGAGGGCGCAATGCGTGTACGGCGTCCTCGGCGGGAATGTTAACCTTCGTGCTAGCTCAGCCTCCGTACGATGACCCCAAGAGCAGTGCCTAGTGCTCGTACATGGTGGTACTACACTGAGCCACACTTGCCGAAGGCTTACGCGTGCAAGATTCGCCCTAGCTCTCGTGACCAGGCCCTGTGGTCGTCGCAGAAAGTTGCCACACAGCCGCAAGAGACCTTGTCCCGTGTGGCATGTCAAAGCGTTCCACTGCGAGCCACGACATGCTCATGGTTTCTCCTTTTGGTGAACGTCTGCGTGCGGGAGCCTTGTGCTCCCCACGTCCCTGGAGCAGACGTCGAACTTTGTTTGGGGTGCCACCAAAGACAACGAAGTGTTTGTGTATGTTGGTAAAAATATATATACACTTGAAATATGTGGAAGAGATACAAACAAAATGACGGTGAGTGTTTGTGATGTTCATGTGGGAAGCATCCACGGAGTGGAGGGGAGTGCATAACTTTTGGCTTGGTGGCCAGCCCAACCTTTCCGTGCTGGCAACCTAGCGAAAATATTTTAAACATTGCAGACAGCTGCTTATTGCGTTCACCGCTGCACTCGATCAGCCAGCCGGCGTCCGAAAAATGAACAGTGCACCGTGGGGCAACCGAATTTTCGGTAATGAGTTCACATTACTTCTATGAGACGCATCATGGTGCCGCAAAGGTGTCCAAATTTTTAGCATCCCAATAAATGGAGGGTGACAGTACCGTAATTACTCAAATCTAACGCCCACCTTTTTTCCGGTTAAGAGAGTTCATAAATCGCACGCGCGTTAAAATCGAGTACGAAAAAAAAAAAATGAATACAGTCATTCTATTGCAATCGGCATTTCCAAAATGGCCGCCCCCCTACGTGCGTCGGCATGGTGCGTCACCCATTTCTGCCTATGTTTTTCCCATGTGCGGCACTTCGTACGTGTGCAGAGGAGTTCGTCATCTTGAAGTGCATTAGCATCGACGGCATGGAAGGGCCAACTCCATAAACTCGACGAGCGCACCACGATGCCGCTTTCAATAGAAAAGTCATCGCGTGTGCAGAAACGGACGAAAATCAGGCCGCATCGCGGTCGTTCGGAGTTCTTGAAACGTGTGTGCAGGACTGGCGGAAACAAAAGCAGAAGATTGTCAACAGCAAAACTTCACGCAAAGGCTTTAGTGGACCACAGCAGCGTCGCTTTCCGCAAATTCAAGAGCTGCTCGGCGAGTATGTGCTTGAGCAGCGAGTGGCACAGCGGCCCGTGACGACAGAACTGCTTCAAGTGCAGGCTATGCAGTTAGCCTTAAAGAAAGGGCTGATGCGGAGCCAGTTTAAAGCAAGCAGGTGCTGGCTAACTAACTTTATGAAGAGGAAAGGCTTTTTCCTCCGAAGGCGAATGGACATATGCGAAAAGTTTCCGGACGAGTACGATGAAAAGCTTCACAGTTTTTGAGAGGTTCGTCCTAAACTTGCGGCACAACAACGGCTACCTGCTTGGGCAAATCGGGAATGCCGATCAGACGCCTCTTTACTTCGACATGCCTGGCACCACAACCGTCGAGAAGAAAGGAGCGAAGCAAGTTCGCGTGCTGACATCGCGCCGCAGTAAATCTAGAGTGATGGCGATGCTCTGTTGCGCGTCAGATGGGCACAAGCTACCCCCGTACCTCATATTTAAACGGGACGCTTCCAAAAGGAGTCGTTTTCATGAGGGGTGTGATCGTGCGGGCCAACGAGAAAAATGGGTGCGCATTGCAATCGATTTCTTGCTCTCTTTCTTTTTCGACGTGGAAACCGGGTGCGCGTTACAATCGAGGGTGCGGTAGAATCGAGTAAATACCGTATATCAAATCCACAGACGGTGAATTACAGCAGATTTGTTACACGCAACCAGAAGGGAGCAGAAAAATCTTTTCCGTTTAACAAAAGTTTTGTTCATCAAGAAATGAACAGTGCAGAATTCTTGTACGAAACCAACCATATTACCTAGATGCAGCTCTTACATTTAAGCAGCATTTCCATTTAAACCGATTTCCTGTTTGCTGAGAGCCTACTGCATTGTTTATATCAAACAATTGTACAATCCCCTCAAAAATGTTTCCCGATATATACAGAATATTTTACATATGAAATTACCTATAGAACTTTTTCCTGATCCCCTTGAGATTCAATATACGTATCTGGATTCGACTTTGCCAATCAAGAACACAAGAATTGTTACAGAGATCATGATACCACAACGAAAACAAACACAAACATGCGAGTACCCCTCGTGAATAATCAGCATAGCTGGTAAACTAGTCCTACGGATTTCCGTAAGATGAAAGAAGTGTTATGGAAGCCAATAACTGACATCCACCCATTTGCAGCCGGGCTACACAGACTTCCTTGTAACATTGTTCCAGAAATGGGCACAACCCCCATTCCCTTTCTTCCATTAGAAACATGGGAAGAACACTATTGCTTTATTGCTTTCATTATTGCAGGTGCTCTGGGCATTACTTTGATTGAAGAATAAGTGGATGCAAAAAAAAGGATAACGTCAACCATGGGTAACACGAGGTGGGGAAAAGAAGCCTCTTGAGTTTACATGTGGCAGGCAAGAAATTCCGGCACCAGGTTACAAAAGGCTAATCTGCAGCACATTGGGTTACGAAGTGGCGTTACACCACAACAGACTATTCCAACTTTTATTCCTCCCAATATTTCACAGCTAATCTTGGCCGCAGAGGGTTTGGTTGTCGCAAGCAGCAACCGTTCGTGGCATGCAATGTATGCACAGTCAATAACGCACGCATTAAGTGACACGGCAAACCACAAGAACAGAAAGCGTGTACGAGACAGTAACGTGCACCAGCAAGACAAGAAGAGTTGGTAAAGGACTCGGGTACCGCAAAGGCACTTGCCCTTCATGCCAGAGCCATCCAGGTTGAAACCAGGCTGGCCCTGGTCCTCCGTGCCATGACCTTCCGAACCGGAGGACGCCCCGCTGCTCTGAGGCGACAGGGGCGGGCCGATGGTCTCGGCTTCGTGTGGCGGGCCGGGTGGAGGGCCGCACCGCCAGTCCACCTGTCAAAAGCGTAGACAAAAGTCCGTAGGTAGAGTAAGTAACTTGTGTGGCCCAGATCAGCCAACTCCCAACATCTTCTAAAAAAATGGCACATTAAAGTGGGACAGTACGACAAAAAATAATGCAGCACAACATCCGCAAATGTGTCCACAATCTGACACCATAACCACAAATGTGCGCCACACAAAAATGTTTGCCACACACGTGTGATCTTGGTTCTTCACAGCTATGCGGCACGAAAGCGGCACAATAAGAAGCAAAAACAGAATGAGAAATATGACAGCCCCCAGTGAACAGCAAGAAAAGGAAGAAGGAAACGTGTCAACAGAGCATAGTCTATTTTTTTAACCTTTCATTACTTTGGAATTATTTTGCCTCCACCCCCCACCCCACCCTTTCTGTCCGATATACATATTGAAGCCAGGGTCGTAATTTCCAGGCTTAAGGGGCACAAGTGCTTAAGGGGCACTTCACTGGCCTACATCATGGCTTTGTCATAACTCGTACTGAAATCCCCTATCCAAAGGGCCCGGTAGCCCCTTTTCAACATGGTAAAAAAACGGTGCCGGTCAGTAGTCGAGGCTGCCAACAACACCCGAGCCAAACATTATAGCAGAGCACCCGGCATAAAATTTACGATTATTTCCTAAAGCCAGCCAGAAATTCCTTTCCTCTTCTCTCGACAAACGATGCCATAAATATTGTTATAAGGACTTGGTGTCCACTGCGAAGCTCCGTTTTGCGTTGGCACGTCGCAACTTCCACCAAAGATGTTGCGTGAAGGCACACAGGGAAACAAGGCGTATTTTACAATACACCAGCACAGCGACAAAGCGTGAACCAAGATGGAGGATAAGAGCACGCTGCATGTATCGCTATCATGGTTGCACAGAAACACAAGCACCATCATAATCACTACTTAGAAACGTCATTGTAATGATTTTTTAAGTTTTATTTATTTATTCACTTCCCCACTGGTCGCAAGGCCTGCATTACTACTACTACTACTACTACTACTACTACTACTACTACTACTACTACTACTACTACTACTACAGTAAAATCTCAATACAACTGATCTCGAAAAACCGCTAAAAATCATTCGTTATTTTTGAAAATCATAGCGAAAGTATCAAAATTTGTGCAAAGATCGTAAAGGCAAACATGCGAGTCGCTTACCTGTGCTGTGTATACACTCGCGACCATATCATGCTCGAATAAGCACGAAAGAACAAACACACAAGAAATATCATGGAACCAGTGCACATTTATTTGAGGAAGAGCACAATCTATCCTGATGTGCACAGCGCGAAGCTTCAGCGTTTAAAACCAATCCTTCACATTGGTTCACGCGCACTGTTTCATCATCCTCTTTGCTCTCGTGGCCATTTTCTTATCACGATAAATGGTAAGGATCTTATCGGTCGTCATTTTAGCTCATGTGCACGCTTCGTCGTCGCACTGTGTGCAGTGTTGGAGCATTGGTGAATCATGCATGAGAAATCATCGGTAACTGTAAGTCACTCGCGTTGCATTTTTCACTGGCGTAGCATTCCTTCTGTGCTTCTTCTGGAGCTCGTCTCGAACGTTCAGCCACCAACAAAAGGATAGAAACAAGCACGCAGGTGAAGCTGCCCAACGAAAACAAAGGCAATGGGACAAAGCCTGATGCGAAAAAGAATAGCCATGCGATGATGATGATGGCGATAGGGCGACCACACATTTGAATAGGGCGGACAGATAAATACGCCAGCGTTCTGACGATGATGATAGTGGCCGCTATGGAGCTGGGGATTACTTCTACAGCGGCGAGTAACTTTTTGAAATTGCTATTTGTTATTTCGAAGTGCTGTGAAGATGTAAGGGGGAAAAACTACACTTTATTGTGAAACATTCGGTATTCTGAAATTCGTAGTAGTGAAATATTTTTACATTAAACCAATGGACATTTGGAGGGGGATTTTCAAAAAGTCACTAATTTGAGAAAAATCGTTATACTGAGGTCCGCTATAATTAGATTTGACTGTACTACTATGACCATGTCAATGGAATAGGGAACACTAAAACGCTTTTGCTTTAAAGCAACCCTTTAGTAATCAGTGATTTCCAGGTGTGTTATTAATGGTGGTCCAAGTGACTCACTGAGGTGGGGTGAGATCCGAGCAGTCGTCCTGGCCCAAAGCCCTGCTGTGCCTGCGACAGCTGCTGATGCAGAGATGTAGTGGAGCATGGTGGTGTCAGGCTGCTGCTTCTCTTGAGCATTGGCTGGGAGAGCGACTGGCCTGCAGCGCAACAAGAGAGACACAGTGAACTGCTTCAATCTAGTAAGAGCCACGACAGCGGGCTGAACACCCCCGTAGGGAGAGACAGGCAGGTAGGTAGACTGAACACGTGTGGAAACAGACCGACAGATTGGGACAAGTAAAGGCACAGAGTAGAGAGGCATACAGGCAGAGACAAGTAGTAGAATCAGCGCGAGTCTGCCGAATACAGCTCGAAGCTTTTGAATGCGCAGGCACGTTCACGCACGAGAGATCTAGCACACTAACCAGCAGGCGCGTAAGAGGACAGGTTGCTGGGGTGCAGTGCCATGTGGCTTGAGTCTAGACCTGGAGGCAAGGAGCCGCCCGCAGTGCCCAGCGGTGCCAGTCCGAACCCGTTCAGGTCGCTGCCCCCGTAGTGGTGATGCTGCTGCTGATGGTGATGGTGGTGGTGGTGGCCGTTCAGGGAGCCCAGGCCATCGACGGCCGCCCACGAGTCGAGGCCACTTGTAGGGGGCCGCCCAGCAGCCAGGCTGCCTCCGCCGTCGTCCAGGCCGGCCGTGCCGTTCAGGGGCTCAGCACCGCCGCCTCCGTGTTCTTGGTACCTACCAAAGATGCCAGGCACCACATTTCGCGAGGTCTCCTTTGGGCCAGTACCTTCTACTCTTTACTAGCCTTCATATCAAACAACCAATATCATTCACACTATACAGTTGAAATGCCCTGGTGTCTCTTATACCCCAAGTCTTTCTTACATCAGTGTCTCTTATAAAGACGCATTACTGCAATCGGTCACTGCCCAACAAAAAAATGTCAACTTTACCCACACAATGGTGAGGCGTCAGCTTTTCACATATCCATACGAACCGTAAGTACAGTAGAGCTTCGCTGATACCTTCCCGCTTACTACGATTTCCCAGCTCCTACACTCAAAATCGCAAGAACTAGAAATGCCCCCAAAGTGTTTATACGTTCCGGTTAATACGATCCCGGAAAATAAGATTATCCAGCAGCAATGTTCAGCATTGCGGCAAACTTCATTCGTATGATAAATCATGCAGTCAAAAATTCTCATTCAGGTGCGCAAAGAAAAAAAAATGTTCTCGCGTGCTGGCGCCAAGTGGCACACTGCCACCGTGCGGCGTAGACGGTTTCTTTGCTGCACTCAATTGTTACGATTGATCGTCCGATCAATGCAATCGTTCCAAGGCAATTGTTCCACACACTTTTGTTCAGACCACATGGCTACAACATCCGGGAGAATGCTACGGAGCTAACAATGTGGCATAATGAATGGATGCGTAAACAGTCAACTCCAGTTCGCCAAGCTTGGGCACATGACGAACGTGCTGCTTTTGCTACACAACACACCAACACCTTAAATCACTAGATTTCTCACTTTTGCTACATCTGACTCCCTTTGCAACCGTCGCCCATGCAACCGGCGTCGGCTACCATGGAAGTTCTTCCATTAGAAGAGCTACAAAGCCACGCACATTTAAGTATGTTGGCCACACACCTTTCAGCGGGAAAGATGCGAATGCAACTCGCCAATCTCTCCCCATCACCCAATGAGCATCATCCAATGAGAGTCGTTGACGGGGTCTCAGTGATTGTCGCTACTTCAAGGGAAAAAAAAATTAGGGACATGTAGACCGGGCCCTGTGCAAGGCTGCACGTTGCTCAGTAGTTCGCTATTCGAGACAGTTGCGTCCAGCATGGTGTCAAGGAAGCGCAAGTCCTTGTCGATTAAGGTGAAGCTGAACTTCCCTAAGCAGCAGCTTGCCTAGGAAGATAGTCAAACCTCAATATATCGAACACGGATATATCGAATTATTGCCTATATCGAACGGTTCCTGTATCACGCGGGAAATCGCATGCATTATTGATTTTTTATTTCGAACAAAGTTTGACATATAATGGATAAATCGAACTCAGCCACCCCAAACCCCCCGCGCTCCATTGACAGGCGGCGAGCTTTCCCGCAACTCTCGAAAGTAGCGGTAGAGCGGCGGGCGTTTACGAATGCTGCACAGATCGATGGCGCCGAGAGCGCCACTTTAACGTAGCGGCGTACACGCACCACAGCCTTGCGGTAGAGGTTCTTGAATGAGGAAAGTGAAGAGAAAAGCGCGGAGCTGTTATTGTCTTTCAATACGAAGGCACCGACAAGGCTTCGCGCGGGGGGAAGGGGGAGTGGGAGGTAAAGATTGAGGAGGAAAGTATAGGAGGGAAAGGACGCAGACGACTGTCTCGGACGCGGTCCGCGCTGTTGCCGGGAAAGGGAAAGCAGTCAGGCGAGCCGGCATGGGCGCGCTTTACACCCGGACTCACGCCGCAGCCTTGCAGCTTGCAGTCGTTGCAGTCTCTATGGTGTCAACGGCACACTGCGCACTTGTTGCAAGCTCCTCCTCCATAGCATCGGCAGGCATCGGTCGTTGTGCTCGCAGTGTTCGTGCGTTCGGAGTTAGGCTGTCGCGCGCTGTGGTGCGCGACAGGCCTAACTCCGAACGGCGGAGCTCACGGATGTGGAGATTGTCGCCGAAGCTACTGCTGAGCAGCCAAATGAAGACTCTGCCGAGGTGCATCCCGCAAGCACTGATGGTGCCCCGCTCCCGACATCAGCTGAGGTCAAAGCTGCCTTGGCCCTTGTGCGCCGCAATGAGCAATGATGTCAATATCCTTGACAAAATTCACAAGGAGATTCAAGTTCCCAACCACAGAACAGCGATACAAAGATAGATGTGTCTGTGTGGCAAAGTCACCAACCTGAAGAACGTGACCAGTGCTTACATGCCACAAAAGTGAGTAAGCACAGCTGCATGGAGCATACATGCAAATTCTCTGTTGGAGGGACAGCGATAGCTGCGGGTGGAGTTGACATTTTTATCTTTGAACCAAGTGCAGTATCGGTCCCACCATTGTCGGCTGCGACCTAAGAATATATGTAGGCTCCGCTCACAGATGTCGGCGTCCCAAAGCAGCACCGTCACAGCCGCCGAAGTCTTGAGAAGTGAAATACTGCATTATGTGTCGAGGTTTAATTGCTATTCAGAAATTCATCTTTAACTTGAAACCACAAATTGACACCTGTGCCTTAAATCGGCATAATGTAAATGCTGCCGAAAATAAGCATCTAGAACCACGTATGCAATGGGCATAAAATTGGCAGGACTTCACCAAGTAAAATTGTGGATTAAAGTTTATGTAGCCCCCCTTCCCCCAAAAAAGTGAACATTATTATGTCAACGAAATTATATGTCAATATGGAATAAAATGATATGGAACGAAGTAATATGTCAAGATTTGACCCCATGCAGCAAATATGCTGCAGTTGACACAGCCATGCAAATGATGCATGCAATTGGACCAGCCCAGCTAGCCTCGCAAAGAGACAGTGCACTCCCAGGACGCTTTGCACTCCCCTCTACCGCTGCCACCCCTCAGCCTCCAGTCCATGCCAACCAGGCAAAGGGACGAGAAAAGAATTCGGAACCCGTTTTCATTAAACGGGCAGTGCCGAGGGCCTCCAGACGTGCTATTCACTTGCTTTCTACACACATGGTGTCACATGACCATCGCTGATGGACTGTGTTCGGCGGTGCATGCATCAGTCAGGCGGCACTGCATTTCTCACAGGTGAATAACATATCACCAATCAGCCGAAATGCTTTGGTACTGGTTTGGTAAAACCATGCAGCCATTTCTGGTAAGTGCAGTTATGTACGCCACAATTACCAAAGTGTAGTGGCCAAGTAAGTGCCTCCACAGCTATAGCAGTAGACACATTCACGAGCTCAATGATCTTGTCTGATGGCGGGGTAACCAACCATCTGGTTTACGACGCTTCACACAGCCCTCCGAGGCCCAATGTCATTTTCGACCAGACTGTGCCACATACTTACCTTACCACGCTTTCTTCTTTATCTAATGACGACTAATGCGCAACAAGAGCAGCTAATGCCCTACCTGGAGGAAGAGATGCGCTCCTCGAGGTGCCTGAGCCAGAGGGTGAGCAGGCGGCGGTCATCCCGAGAGTTGATGGCCGGGTGGATGAGCGAGTAAGAGAGCAGCTGGCGCGCCCCCTCCACCAGTGGCCGGCAGTCCAAGGCATGTGCCAGCACCTGGGAACACAAGAGGCGAAAATGGAGGCGAAATGCTGTGGGCCTTTGCGCTCAGATTCGGGTGCACGATAAAGAACCCCGAGAGGTTGAAATTTCCGCAGCCCTCTACTACGGCGTCTCTCATAATCATATGGTGGTTTTGGGATGTTAAACCCCACATGTCAATCAAGCATAGTGAATCACTGTGGCGCTGACGTACTTCACTGAGGACAACCTCGTTTACCTAAAGGGACACATTTAGACTGAAGAACTTCGATAACTTTAATGTTGTTAACTTCACCATCATATGTTTATTTATAAGGTAGGAAATCAAGTTGATACTTACAATATTAAACTTCACATTGAGGTCGCTGGATGCGACATTACAGATTTCAAAGCATATTTTTGATGTTTTGGTAACACTGGCGCAATGGAATTTCTTATAACTTTCTATGTCAAGTCTATGGCCCCCTCAGAGGATGATGCACTTCATGGCGTCCAAATCTGACATCTTGAGATTTGTAGAAGGAATTTCAGAGTGGCGTCACCACCCACACTTCCTCTTAGAGTGTTTTCTCACTTACCGACCATATCGTCATTGCAAGCATGGCTGTCTTGGAATTGTCAGAGTAATTTGCTAATAGTATGACAAAAATTGTTTTTCACTTTGAAAGCTTATAAGAATGACATCTGTCAGGCACAAAATCATTCGTACACTCTAAAATAAAATAGAGTATTTGAGGAGTATTTCTGCTACAGATAATTGTAATCTAGTTCAAGCCCTTTCCTCGCGCTATCAGCACTGATAACGCCGCACACGCAATCAGTGTGACATAGCATTCCTGACAGGAAAGTGGCCAGTGCCAGGTTTTTAAGAAAGAAAATGCGGGTATTCAAGAAAGAAAATGCGTAGGCTTGTGCAAATAGTGAATTTCAGGGTCGAAGCGAATAGTGATTTTGGTCGAATAATTTCGAATCGAATTCGAATAGTGCGACATATAAAAAAAAAGGGAATATTTATCATAACCTAACTAACCTGCACGATATTTCTTTTGAATTAAAATAGGGGCTCTATGCAAATGCCTTTTTTTTTTTTCATTGAAAGGAAGTCGAAACAACCTAGATTAGTAGTTTTGGTAGGATCCGAGTAATAACCTATAAGATACATAACGTTTTAAAATTTATTATACTTAAATCATATAAACCATCATAACAAGCTTAATAAAATGAAGGATTGATTTGAGGGTAACATGTTCCTTTAAAGGGGCCCTGCAACACTTTTTCAAGTATCCATGGAGCCAGTAAACATGCTTGTCGCCTCACAAATTTACCGCCGCAAAGTTTTTAGAATCAGTCCAGTAAGAGCGGAGTTCCAAAAATTTGTCGCATGCTGCAATTGCATTTTCCATTCTCGACCCGTCAAAAGAGCTGGAAGCTAAGCAGGGAAGGATGGCACGGGAAAAGAAAAAAACATCATGAGCGCCTAGTGACCTTGAGCATTTTTTCTCTCTCTTTTTTCCTGGAATACGAGGCCTTTCAGTGAGATCCTGCACGTATTTGTGAACAAGCGGCGGCCTCACGCGGCGGTCCGATAACGACGAACGCGCCATGCTTAAATCAGCCAATGACTGTGACCAGAGCCATACTTTCTTTCTTGGCTGTGACAAGTAACTTTCGAGCTTGTAGTGTCATTTGCCGAGGTAAGAGAGCAATTTTAACTTTGTAAATTCGTTGTGAATTTCAGGCCGCGTGCTGCGCTATAATACTTGCCTCGCGTGTTCTCGGTAGCCTCGACTACCGATCGGCAGCGTTTTCTGACCATGCTCAGTAAGCGTTGCAGGGCCCCTTTAAATCTGAAGGGGGGCTTTGCGGCAAAGCAAATTTCTCCCGACTAGATGCTTTCGCGGCTTTGCATTACTACATTGCAGTGAAACCACCTTTACAGGCGGACTAATGTACATTTATTTGTTTATTGCGAATACTTCGAAAATATTCGATAATTTAAATTCGAATCGAAGCCAATTCAAATACTCACCTATTCGTTAGAATATTCGAAGCATTCGAATATTCACACAAGCCTAGAAATGCGAGCAAGTCAGATAAATATTATTGTTGTGCAGTAGAACTACTCCCCGAATACGCCATTCTCTATTAGACTGTACCATTTGTAAAGAGAAATTATACAAGCTGTGGCTGCATGTGTCATAGATAATCGTGCTGACACTAGCCCTTTCTCACACCTCAACTGGGTGGACACATCCGAAAGGTTTGTTATAGGAACACGTGCAAGATCAAGTCAAAGGCTTTTTTAAGAGGTTTTGAATACCTTCTCCAAGAAGTGTTTCCCTGCCTGTAACACGTAACACTTCTGCAATACTTCACTTTTGTAATTGCCCACCAGAGGCTGGAAGTATCAATAAATGAACAAATCAATCAAATAAATCAATGGAGTCAGGTTGCCCTAGTGGTGCAAGGCTGGACTAACACTGATGTGTGCGGCAACCTACATAATTAGCAAGTTGTTAAGTAGCATTCACTTCATTACCATGATACAATTGACAGTTGTCATTATCAATACTTTAATTAGTAATTTCCTAATTTGTAAGAGTGTAATTATTGCCATCTTAATCAACAGCTTTAATTAGCGAGGTCTTCTCTGTGTTCTTGTCTGCGTCTCTTTCTTCCTTTTAATTTATTTCTTCTTTGCCTCTCTTTTTTTTTCCAGATGGCCCACACATTTAACAACCACCTACACTGAACATCCATCATGACAACCTCAACAGGTGTGCCATCCGCATGCCTCATTATCTGCCTAATTACTAGGTGATACAGAAAAATTGACAATATCTTATCCTCACTTCATAAGCATGTTGCCAAGAGCACACCGTCTTTATTTAATCCTAAAATGAAGATGAGGAAAAAGAGAGTGATTGTGTTGTACACGCAATGCACGGTTCAGCTTTCTGGTCACGTAAAACAGTGGAAAAAGAAGATTAAATAGCTACACTGTTAATATTAGAATGGCTACTGACCGGCACCATTTCCTTACCATGCTGAAAAAGAACTACAGGGCTCTTTGGGTAGGGGGTTTCAAAATAGAAAAATAAACATAGAATGGCTACGGTAGCTATGTTTATTTCCTCACAAATCAATCACCACAAACATTTGAATCCCAAATGAATCACTGCAAACAGCGGAGTCCTTATGATGCTCACCTTCAGATCATGGGTTCGATCCCCAGCTCGTCAAACATTTTCATTTTGTTTTTTTATTTGTTCTCCTCCTCTACTACACTTCTCCTATGCTTCAACTTTCCGTTTTTCAATGCAATTTCATGCAAGGTAGATGCTGTTCATGACGATGATGGTTTTCTGTTAATGCCACACAAGGCTTTGACAGGCCTAAACAGCACAGCTACTAAAAATCGACCACTGAAAATTTTCGAGTCGGTACTCTTTTAATGTCCATCTTCGTTCGACAACCGCAAAACGCGGGGCACAAACATACCTGCGGTATGAGGCTGAGGTAGGCCGCCTTGGCCGCCTGGTTCCCGGGTGCGAGCAGGGGCAGCAGTCCCAGCAGCTGGCCCAGGGCCTGGTCGCGCGGCTCGCGAGCCAGCCGCTCGATGTAGGCCGGGTCGTTGGCGTGCCGCTCTCGCTGGCGCAGCTCGGCGCAGTCGGCCAGCGACCGGTCGAGCACGAGCGCCAGAAAGCGCGCCTGGGTCGGGCCCAGCCGACGCAGCAGGGAGTACAGCCCCACCGTCTGCTCGCACGGGTTCCACAGCTCAAACCACGAGCCCATGGCCGCCACCTGGTCCCGAAAGACCAGGCTCGACTTCATGCCGCCGCCGCCCGCCACCGCGGCGCCCGCCGGGGTCGCCCCGCCCGGTCCTGCAGCAAAATGGGCAAGGTGCCATGGTCACAAACACAGGCATCAATAATAATAATAATGATAATAATAATAATAATAATAATAATAATAATAATAATAATTAGCATTTAACGTCCCCAAAGCACCATACTGATTATGAGAGACTCTAGCGGAGGGCTCCGGAAATTTCGACCACCTGGGGTTCTTTAACGAGCACCCGAATCTTAGGCCTGTGTGTCAGGCCTGTCGGCCTGTGTGTCAAGCACACAGGCCTACAGCATTTTCGCCTCCATAGAAAATGCAGCCCCCGCAGCCCGGATTCAATCCCACAACCTTCGGGTTAGCAGCCGAGCGCCATAACCACTAGATCGCCACGGCTGGGCCACAGAGGCATCAAGGTCACACAAGCACAGAGGCGTAGCGAGGGGGTGGCACACTGAGCCTGGGTTCCCCCCCCCCCCCCCCCAATTATTTTCGCTATGGCATACAGCAGGAAACATGACCTTCCTTAAGTGGGTGCCCTCCCCGAAATCAAAGAGGTACTCCCCCTCCCCCCGAAAAAAAGTTCTGGCTACGCTCCTGCAAAACCAAGGTCACGCAATGCCTGCCTCGCCACTGTTCCTCACAGCGTCAGCTACCAGATTCCAATAGCAGATTCGCATCAGCTTACTCTGTGGTTCAGATTTCGTCTCTGGCTAAAGCAATGCCTCTTGAACCACTGTCAAAACACCTCCCCCCCCCCCCCCCCACCCCGCTACTGGAGCAAAGCGGGAGCAGATTTTCTGATCTCTTGCCACAGAGGGGATATCCAGTGAAATGCCCAATCAATGATATTCGGTTTCAGCGCTGCTGTCCGTGCCCAATCAGCCACGCACTCCAGCTTTCCTTATCAAGTACCGGAAACAATGCCCACTGCCATGAGGGGGGCATTCATGTCGTCTGCTATTGTCAAGCATGGCATCACGGCCGCACCTGTGTGAGAGTAAAGAATGTTCCTATTTACGAGCCTGAAAATGCATGCATCGCCGTAATTATGTCCTGCACATCACGACCGGTCACTGGATGCCAAGGCAATTAGAGAAAGGAAGCCTAGAACCCCAAGGCATCTTTTCTTCAATACTTTGATGTTAGGTGGAGAAGCACAACGTACGAAATACTTTGACCGGTTCTGACGATCACGTACGAATAGCTGGCCACAGCGTACTTCCCATTCACTATATAACAAATGCCGCCTCCGCGGTTAAGAAATCAAGTGACAGGCTAGCTGTGGAGCCTCTGAAAATATGCCTTCTACTGTCCGTCTCAGCGAAGACAAACAAAAAGATACAAAGGGAAAATCCTGGTGAAATCAACTCTGGTTGTTGCATCTGTATACACAACACCTCCTATATTATATTTTGACAGATTCAGTCAAAACAATATGCTATGAGCGAATAAACGGAAGTGACCAGCATTTGCGTCATTTAACTGACACTATTCAATAGTAAGCCAACTAAGCGAACGTTAGCCGATAGAACAGATTGGCGGTTTTCATTTAACTTTCGAAATTTAGCTCGTGTTATATGCGCTGTAGTGTTAACCATGATTCGGCCAAGTCGATGGCAATTATTAAGTCAGTACCCTTCGCACCCAGCTGCAGCTACCATCAGCTATGCATTAGCCAACCACAGTCAAAATTAGTTTACCCAGTCAACAAGTCATTCGTGATATGTGGTTATGGTGATGTCGTCATCCTTACGCCGACGTAGGTCAACCCGCGCCGCATAACTAGCCGTTATTTCACTAATAGCCAGTGCTAGCGATTACTTAGTCAAACCAATGACCATCCTTACACCGGCACTGCCAGTCGTTTACCCAACTTTGGCTACCACTCGGATAACCCGAGCAATAGTCATCATTAAGCAAACGCTAATCAACTGCCGGTGGTAAACGAGTAAACACGATAGGTCAGGCCGTCACCGGTCATAGGCATTAGCAGGGCTCTTTCATTGGAGGAAAGGGAAGGTCACGTCGTGCGTAAAGCCCCCCCCCCCCCCTTCCCAAGCTCCCCGTTAATCAAGTCCGAACGTAAGCAAGCTCCATAAACCTGTGCTAAATGTAACAGCGCAAGTCCGCAAGACAAGAGCTTTGCGTGCCGTGTAGCGTCTGGTGCGTTTGCGCTGTTACATTTACGTCAGGAATACGTACCGACTAGGCCGAAATGAGGCTTTATTGAAGCTTCGTGATAGACACAAAAAAATAAAATGAAAATGGTGTATTGACATGAAGCTTACAACGCCCTCCCTGCCTCCAGTTTCCAACTTTTCAGGGATAAAAGAACAGTAGTTCTCGAAACGCAACCTCTGAAGCTCTCGGTCGCCATTAGGGAGTTTTAGAATACCGTTTGCAAGCGCTGCGGGCGCCATACGAGTTTAAGAAAAGCGTTTGCCCTGCGGCGAACCGCAACGCACGATCACAGCGACACCGTAGCCTCGAAACCAGCGCTTGCGGGCCACGTGCGGGCCGCAATCACCGCACGCAATTTCGGATTTTCTGCGTGCGGTCCGCGAACGCGAACGCCGACTCGCGTTACGACGCATGCGCAGTGGCAGCGACCGCACCGCAAAGGATCGCGGTGCGCTATCCTAAAGCTCCCTATTATTGGCAAAAAAGTGTGGCCACAGCTCGAGTGTACCCCTATAACCCTGCGCGTTAAACACTGACTGGACCAGTCAGCGGTCAGCGGAGTAAAGGTATAAAACAGACCCCCCATGGGCATCGACAAGGGTGTGCAGCAAAGGGGGTACTTGCCCCCTCAAACTGGGCAAGCACTAGGCCTGAAGCCCTACCAGAGCTCCCCTTTCTCTCCATCTCCGTGATGAAACACGGGTTTGCCCCCCCCCCCGCCCCCCCTGAAGACCAAATGCTGCCAACACCCATGGCTAACCCCCCTCCCTTCTTGTTCAACTGGTCACCGTTCACAAATCGGGGGTGGGTATACGCTTAGATATTTTCCCGCACATAAAAGCCCTACCGACTGCCGGTGGCGTCGGCTCGCCGCGACCGTCAAGGCTTTCCTTCAAGCCGACGTCCTTGCCCTGCCAGCGCGCCCCGTTACAAAAAAAAAACAAAAAAAAACAAGAAAATGAGCAGTCAAGACACGCGTCCAGCCGAACTACATGGCGCGTGGAGACGGCTAGCGAGAGAAAGCAAGGAAGAGAATGAGAGAGAGGGCGGGGAGAGCAACGAAGAAAGGAAGACACACCGCCGCACAACGTTATATTCAGGGCACGGTGATTCAGGGTAAGCAGCCTCACACAAGCGGCTGGACTCGCTCGCCGGATTTCGTGCCGACCGGTTGTGCCCTCGCGATCTCCGACGACAGTGCAGCTCTGGCCGACTGGGCTGGCCCGACGCCACCTCCTGACGCCGATCCCCGACGACAGCGTAGCTCTGGCCGACTGGACTCGCCCTACGTCATCAACTGACGCCGACAAGAGCTCTTGTCGAGTGGTGCCCCGTCCTCGGGCTCCTGCGACCGTGTCCATCTTTTCTATCTTCTCTTTCCTTCCGTCACTCGCTGTCCCTGCGCCTCGCTCTCCTCCTTCCTCTCTCTCTATATATATACCTTTTAATCCCTCATTACCTCCATCCCTTGTGAGCTACTGTTGAGGTGTCTCACCTGGTGCAGACAGTTGTTGTTGTTTCCCTGTGCAAAATGGCTACGGGGCTCACTTTTCTCTTCTTTTCCCTTTAAGAACCACACAAGAAAAAGCCTCACACAACTCGCCCGCGTAGACCGCATTGCACACACAATAAAACGACGCGACTTGCGCGCGCTTTGGATGGCGTCACCGCCGGACGTTACAGACGACCTTTGTGGCAAGGATATGGGGTTCGAGGCAAACCCACGTCGAACAGGAAACACCGATATTATTCGGGGTCTTGCACACGTATTAAATACCGGCTATAGCATAGTCACCAATGCCCTAGTTACACGGACGCATTCGCCTTAGTTACGACGTACCCAAGCAGCATCTACCAATGAAAAACGAGCCTTTGAGTTCCCCTCCTTTCGTTCATTCAGTTAAGACGGCAAGCCTAACTGCCGTTATCCTACCGAGCATGGTAACTCGTAACTAAGGATGGCCACCTTAAGGAGAACCTGCAATACTCCTCAACAGCAAAGGGGGGAGCGGAAGAGTGAATAAGTGAGTGAAACAACTTCATTAGGTCCCCAACAGGCGCGAATTAACTCGACGTCACCTGGCTAGGCCCACTACTCGAGACGGTCAGGTTAAATAAACCAGACCGCCATCGCGCGACCTGTTCATTTCCTCTTGGTGGAAAGGAGGACCGGCAAAGGCACACTCCACAGGACATGCTCGAAGTCCGCATAACCACCACACAGGGGGCAATCCGGGCTTGGGAACCGTTTGGGGTATATTATGTGCAGTACCACAGGGCTCGGGCGCGTGGAAGAGGAGGGGGGGGGGAGAGAATAAATTGAATCTACGAATTACGAGCGGAGTTAAGATATTTGTAGCACGCTAGAAGAGATAGGGCGGGGGATGGCACAGGCTAAAGAAGTTACGTCACGCACCCGTCATGACCTTTAGCACATGCTTTTTTTATCTTTTCTTTATCACGCGCTTAACTTTCAGTGAGGTCTCGAGCGCGGGCACGTGGCGGCCGCAGTAACTATGCAGCCAACGATGCTCAAATCAGCCGACGCCGGTGTATTTGGGTTTACGGCATCATTTGTAGACACAAGAGGGAGCTATGTTTCGCTGACTTTGACAACTGGTTGACAATTCCCAGCCGTGTGCCACGCTTCAATGTTAAGCTCACGTGTTCTCATGAGCCTCGACTATCGATTGGCACCGTTTTCTCACAATGCTGAAGAAGTGTTGCAGGGCCCCTTTAAACAGGCTAACCAACAAAATGACGACACGCATGGTGCTGAATTCCATGATAATCGAATGAGGTGGGAGGAGGGGCGACAAGTGTGTCCCGTATCTTTAATCAGTTGTACCGTATG